AAGTTAGATAAAAATCTAACCCTGACTGATTTGCTCCTTGTTGCTGAAATTTGTTATTGTTTCTGGTTAATTCAGTTAAAAAAGTTGTCTTTCATGGTCTCCAACATAGCAGTCAAGTAATCATTTATAAATGGAGGTTGGATGTATGTTGTTAAACAGCCAAGGTTTGGGGCCTTTCACACTGTCTAAACCACTATAAAACCAAAACAAATCCTGTACAAGACAATGTATAGCCCAACTGCCATTGATTGCAATTGTTAAGTTAATAGATCCCCACTGTGTACTAGCTCCACCCTCCTCAGAAAGCAGACCTCATTTACTTTTGCCCTTATTTCTCACTGCAGGGAAGTTTTGAAGGTAAGATATGAGTTCAAGTCTTTAGGTAGGTTACACCTAGACAGGCATGAATTAGTCAGAATCCCAAACTATGGGTATTGTAGTTTTTAAAGAAATAATGAGATTATATATATATGTCTTCACTTGTTTGTACTTTGATATTGTCCCTAGCAATCTCTCCCTTGTTACAATGATGTGTTTGTTAGTCCACCCATTGTACAGAGCTGCAGAATTTGTTGGCGCTATATATAAATAACAATATATTGTATTCACTGGATGTTATGAATGTGAAGCAATATTTTTTTTTCTTTTTTACATTAGGATGGTACAGGAATATAGAATTGTTTAGACTTTGGTACTGAAAAATCTATTATGCTAACATGTAAATCGATCTGGACATGCTTCCAAATGTTAACAGTTTAGCAGATCGCCACTACTATGTAACTGCTTACAAACTGCAGTACTAAAATACCAGGCCTCATTATAACTAGACATCCCAGATTGTTGTTTCAATAAAAACCCATACTGAATGGGGAAAAACTATCGTGTTCCATTCACGAGCACTCAGGATTGCTAAGGTACATTGTTTTAATATTTAACAATGTCCAGATTTTGAAATACTGCCAGAATTGTGTCTGGATTTCATCAAAAAGCTGCTGTTCCCAAACTTTAAATGGGAACTCCAATTATATTTCTAATTTTACTTAATTTTTGCAAACTTAGATTTAGGGCCCACCTTTAAACTTAAAATAAAGCAGATTTACATACCTAATATACCACTCTGCACTAATTTTGCTGTGTCCATGGAGGGAAGGGGGGGAAAGAGAGAGGGATAGTACGGAACACATGGAGGGGAGAGAGGGAGGGTACAGGACACATGGAGGGGGAGAGAGAGTACGGGACACATGGAGGGGAGGAGGAGAGAGAGGGTACGGGACACATGGAGGGGAGGAGGAGAGAGAGGGTACGGGACACATGGAGGGGAGGAGGAGAGAGGAGAGGCAGGGTGGACACATGGAGGTGCTGAGGAGGAAGAGAGAATGGGGCACATGGAGGCTGTGGGGGAGAGGGTACAGGACACATGGAGGGAGAGAGGAGGAGGGACATGGAGGGGAGGGGGAGAGAGGGAGAGACACATGGAGGTGGGAGGAGGGAGGGACACACATGGAGGGGAGGGGGGAGAGAGGGAGGGTACGGACACATGGAGGGGAGGGGGAGAGAGGGAGGGCACGGGACACATGGAGGGGAGGGGGAGAGAGGAGAGGGTACGGGACACATGGAGGGAAGGGGGGAGAGAGGGAGGGTACGGGACACATGGAGGGAAGGGGGGAGAGAGGGAGGGTATGGGACACATGGAGGTGCTGAGGAGGAAGAGAGAATGGGACACGTGGAGACGATGTGGGGCAGAGGGAATGGGGCACGTGGAAGGGCTTTGGGGTTGAGGGAATGAGACACAGGGGGGATTGAGACACATGTGAGGGGGGATATTTTTGCACTTCTGTCTGCTAGTAAGAAGACAAGTGGACCAGCGAGTGCTAGTGGACAGTCCTTAGAAAGCGTTGAGCAAGCACATCATTAGACGCATTTATGCCAAGCTCAGGGTGCTGTCTGCATAGAATGCCCTTAGTTGGACAGCTTGTGTGATTGGCAGGCAACCTGACATGCATTCATGCCAGGCCGGCATTCCAATTAATTTGGCAGACATGCCCCCTTTTGGCAAGTTACGTGATTTATTTGCGTCAGTGGCACACCCTTTTACCGCGCACCTTAACTTCCTGCTTCACTGGACACTGCTGTTAGGGTTATGGATTAGCATAGGGTAAGTGTTTTCTTATAGCTGCTGTTTTCTTTCCCTCCAGCACCATCTCCATCAGATACATAACGCTGGGGAGTGTTTTATTTTTTAGTTTAGTCGATAAGATTCTGTAATTTGGCCCATCAAAATTGTCAGCACTGGGCTCTTAATTTGGCCCTGGTGAGAGCAAAGTAGTGCTGGAGTTAAAATATTTGTGACTGGAGAGCTAAAAAGGCCCCATCTCATTGGGTACTGGAACTAGTCTTCTACACAACCCCACCTGTGGGCATCAGTTGGCAGGTATATTTTAATAATGGGGGTGGACATATCGCTCTCCACCCCCTGCCTCTTCCCATGGGAGGGTGGTGGGGTCTAATATATTGATATGGGAGGTAGGGACCTGTCAAAGTCCCCTGGCCTCCACCATGGGCTTTCAAGCCCACCAGAGTGCTCTGACAAGCATTTTGAGACCCACCTGGTTCCACAAAATATTCCCTTCCACCTGTCTTCATTTTCGTGCATTTGTGTGACAATCTGTGAGTCTGACAGTGCCTATGAGAATGTATCAGAACACATTTCGAGACATAATAGTGTTTTGGGAGAGTGTTTTGTCTGCAAACACAGATAAAAGTAAAACTGTGATTGTCTGTGATAGTGCCTGAGTGTGTCTAGAGAATGATTATTTAAAGGACCACTTCACTATCTTAAAGCACTTCAGTTTGCTGACGTGCTTTATGGGTTAGGCCCATGTTAATGACACTCCATCAAAGTGCCTTTTTCTTTGAGAAATAGGCACATTTAGAAATAAATTATGAAACACACCTTTGGCTGGCAATAAGACAGCGGGGAGATCCTCTCCTCCTTCTGTTAGCCCTGCTGAGGTAACAGAAGTGGCAAGTACAATCTGCAAGAACATGTCTACCATTGCTTTTCTCAAATCAGAGCGCCTGTGAGCACACACGCCTGTAGGCTAATTATTCCTGTGACCTACTCCTGAGCTAACACCTCGCCATGCATGTGCACCCAGAAGTAAAGAACTGCAGCTTTTGCAATTTAAAAAATATAAATATATATTTTCCTGCATGTTTTCATCTAATAAATAGTGATTTTATTAAAAAAATAATTCCCCTGTGAAATGTTCTTTTAATTTTCAACTTCTTGAAGTGAGCAAGTACAAGTACTGTCTGTCTCTTTCAGGGGTTAAATAGTTTTCCAATGGTTTAACTCTGAAGTTGTTCCTCAGGCCTCTGCTCTGCTGCCCCTGACTACCCCTTAGTCTTAGCCGCTGCAGAACATGGAAGGTTTTGCCAATGATAGAGTGAGAGTACCAACTAATGCTCTCAGTCTAACTATGGGCATCCACTGAAAAAAAAAAAAGTACATAACCAAAACATGGGGTTTCCCCAGCAAAAACGAGACCACTGGCAACTATGCACTGCCACACATCCCTGTTTTTACTGGTAAGGTGTCATACATACTACCAGTTAGCTATTAAACAAGCATTTAAACCATGTCACAAAACTCCCAACGATCACTGCATCAGAAATTGACATTGCAGCTTTTTAAACAAAATCTTACTTATAAAAGTCCTTTTTAATATTAAAGCAACACTCCAATCACTATACCCACCACAGAACTCTTAGTTTAATTGTGGTTTGATTTATTACGTGGGATCTGCTGGAAGCTCTCAACCAATAAGCAGGCCCTGCGTGGGGCTTCGCTCCTGAGAGTCAAGAGGTTGAGGGGAGCAGCGCTTGGCCGACACCAGGTAAGAGGTCAAACTGTTACTAAATGGTTACTTACATTGAGGAATTGTGCCAGGGCATTCTTGGCACCATACCCACTGCAGTGTGGTGTAGTGGTTATGGTGTTTGGAGTTTGGGTTAGCCATATTAGTCCAGAAAACAAGCTTTTCAAGAGTTTTCCCTCTCTTCCTCAGGTCTGAATCAATACTATCCATATTCTCAATTACTCCATTTACACGTGTGTGTGTGTGTGTATATATATATATATATATATATATATATATATGATTTGATGTCTTACACTTTGATGTAATTTTTTTACAATAAATATCGACAAAGAAGTCCTGTTGAGTGCTCCTATTTATCTATGGTTATATTTTTTGACGCTGGAAGCACCAAAGGCAACAATCATAGGAGTCTTCTTAAGGGTGAGTGCCTAAATCTGATTTTTTGTTATATATATATATATATATATATTATACACACAAAATATACATGTATTTGTAAATGGAGTACCGGTAATTTGCACTGTCTCCATTGTGCATCAGTACATGCCCAGGACTTTGTACTCTGCACATAACTGAACGTTGTAGGTTAATTCCACTTCGAATATTCTACAGGTAGAATTGACATACATAGTTAATTTTTTAAGGATGTGGTTCTGGGGAGACAAATTTATACACGGGTGTGTTGAAGTGAAAAAATTACCTAATTTGTGGAAAGCATTAATGTGCGCAACTTACATTCCTATAGCTTGCTTACTTGCAATAATGTCCACTTAAATTAACCTGCTCTTGTACAACTCTAATGTGGTCAGAAAATAGCCTGGCCTGCATGGGCCTTAATCTACAATAAATTCTATCTTGCTGTGTCTCCTACTGGCTTCTCACAAAGTTAAAAGGTATAAAATGTATACTAGTGATACTCTTCCCTTACTCATAAAATGACAACAGATAGAGATTCCCACCTAAAACATACATTATTTTATTTGAAATGTAAATGATTTTTCACAGTTTGTTTAATGGCTTTTAAAAACAGCGCAGCCATGTTTAACTGTAAATCACATGCTCAACACTGACGGCTGGCTTCCCTATAGCTAGTGGGCGGGGCTAGTTTGTTGTGGGCGTTACTCTAAAAACTAACGATGCTTCTTCTTTTCCTTTTTAGCTTGGCGGGAAGACAAGAGGTAAGAACCGGTTACAGTGACTCCGCCCCAACACCCTGACGGACAGCTGCCTCAGCCAACAGGAGCGCGACATTGCTGCGTCACCGCTCCGGCCGCCATTTTGTGAGTGTATATGAGGCGGTCGCCCCGTCTCTCTGAGTTATTGCGGCGCCTCCTCTCCGTGCCGGGTGGTTTTCGTGTGTGCCATGGAAGGGTAAGTCATCAAGCTTAGCGGGCCGGGGGGGCCCAGTGCAATAACACAAACTTGTCTGGCTTAAAATCTCCCTCTGTAACTTTACAGCCTTCGGAGTATTTTTGTTTGTTTTTGTGGTTATTTTTTTTTCTCTCACTGAAAGCCAGTCAGTTGGGAGTTGTTGGAAACCTTGTTACTAGTTATTACTGAGAGGGGGGCCGTTAATGGGCTGCACATACCGTCCAGTAACGTACAGCCGCACTCCCCTGTTGCTCGGTACCGTGTTGAGTTGGCACTGGGTGGGGCACACTTTACTCCTGACTAACACGGCATCAGGGGGGTTGAAAGAACTCCCACACCCATCACGTGCCCATGTAAAGTCCCATCTTACCTGACCCCCCTCTCTAATAACCGCCCCCATGGCTCCCAGTATCGGGGTGCCTGTGTCTTGCTCCCAATCTCACCGACACATAATCCTCTCCCGGGTCACTCCAGAACCTAAAGTGGTGATAATGCTGGACCCTCCGGGGGTTATCATTTTCCTGCTTGGGGGGGGGGGGGTTAGTGCCTACGTTTCTCCTCTGTTGAGGCTACCGTGGTGTGTTGGCTTATTGCTAAGGCTAGTGGTAGCCAGGGATCTTGCCAGAGTAGTGGGAGTTGATGTACATCCTGCGGGGTTATACTGAGGAGACACTCACTGGCCAGTTAAAGGATGCTGGATCCAGCGTGGCCCCTCGTTTAGTAGATGCCCTGGGGAGGGGGGGGGAGGAAGAGGGAGATGAAGTTAGTCTGCTTGCGTGTGCAAAGTCCAACTTCCTTCACAGCCTGCGGTTCACTGGCTTCCGCCCCATCCATTGTCTGTTTCGATCTGCCCCTCCTATTCAACATTAGGTAGATGGGTGGAGGAGGTTAGCTATGGGGCCCCTGTGCTGCCCAGACTTGCTTTTTATTTGTTCATAATGTAGTTCGGGTTTTTGTTTACTTGGAGACGTTTCCTGGCAGTTGAAATGTTAAATCATGGGTAGAGCTAGTCTGCTTACCATCTGAATTTGCATTGATACACAATCGTTAGATTCTGGATCACACCAGAGTAGTTTGAGATGTGTGTGTGTATGTATATTAATTTGTGGGAGGGAAGTGCATTTCGATATGAAAGCATAGACCTTTACATTAAGTGTAGCACTAGGTTGCCCTATGCTGTTCTATTCAAAGCTGTGCCAGATACCTGGTATGATGTAAGGGGAGAAGCTTAAAGTTACGTGTAATGCAATTCAACAGTTATTGAAGTTTAAGTTCTTCTTGACACACTCTTGTTTCTGATGTTAAATCTATGTATATATTTAAAGGTCTGCAGTTCACTTTTGCTGGTTTGGGGGATTTACCTTCGTAAACTCCACATTTGATTAAATTAGTTGGACTTTGCAACTTGTGTTTATAAATACTGTATACAAAGTATTTACAGTCTTATGGTTTATACCTATGGTAAGTTCAGGAAATTGTAGTTGAGTTGCAGAAGCTGTAATAATACATTTGCAGGAAGGGAGACCATTTGGAGAACTGCATTGCTCCTTTTGTTTAATGTATGTAAATCACTCCAAAGGTAACCTCTGATAGTGAGCAGGCAAAGGCTGTGTGGTTAGTGATTTATACATGCAGAGCTGCTTGGGGTTTACATTGGCTGCAATTGTGTGCTTACTCATATCCTGTTGGCTTCAGATGAGATTATGAAATTCCACCCTCCATTTTGTGCAGCTGTATAGCAAGCATTTTTTTTCTCTCTGCAACTAGCCTACCTTTTTTGTGTCTTCACAATAAATTCTTGCATGTGAGGGGAACCTGTTTTTCCAGTATTTCCTTACGCAGATAAGAGTAGCTTGGCAAATGCTTTATTTAAATTAAACTTCTCATGTTTGAGGTGATATAAAGGTGGAGTAAACTGATCTAGTGAAGTTAGAAATGTATGTCTAAATGTTGGTAAAGCCGTATCAAGATATGGATACGTCCAGTTTAGTATGCACACTTGAAATATTATCCCTCAAATTGTATTAAGTGCATGACTTCGATGTCGTTTTGTTTTATATAGTGCTGTACAATGGGTGGGCTAACAGACACTTCCTTGATTACTGTCAAGGGGGTAAACATGCAGTTTAAAATTAAAAGCATTATTTATTGTAAAACAAGTCGACGACAGTGTTGCAAATTATTTTGTCTGTCTAGTTACATGTATTTTACAGAAATGCATCCTAATAGTTGAGGCTCACAAAATCATAAATGTCAAATGCCCATGCAAGTGTGCTAAGCTATATTGAACAATTTATACATGTACATACATATTCTTTATGGGGCTTCTATGGTCATGTTTTTTTTGTTCTAAATAGTTTTACAAATTAATTTAACTTTGCTGCTTAACTGACTTTTTTTTTTCCCACCTTTTCGTTACAGAATTGTCCAAGAGTTAACAGTTGGTACAAAGGTAAGCCCTGATTTATTTTATATAATCTAAAAATTACTTTGTCACCAATTAGTTTGCGTTAAAGGTGCAAGATGATCTTGGCACCAACTGAGGATAGCCTCCCTTGTTCTGAAATCCCTGATACATCCATTGGTTTTTTTTGTTTGTTTTTTTTTTCTTCATATGTGTTTTGTAGTGTTATGCTAGTATATTGTATTGGTTTATCTCTAGAGCAGAAGGGCAACCTTTGGCACTCAAGGTGTGTGAACAACATCTCATTTAACACATTAAGGATAGTCAATTGTCCAAGTTCTGAACCAAAACAAAATCTAGAACTTTGTCTGCTCAACCAATATTTACCTCTCTAATAATAAGTGCATATAAACATCTAAATAAAATAAGTGTGGAAATACAAAAATTCTTGTTTTCTAAGTTCTGCACTGCATTTTAACAGTGAAATGTCTTAATACTGTTTGATTTTACTTCAAAAAAATTTTTTTTTTTTTTTTTGTGATGCCCCCTATTTAAATGTTTAATCTGGCTTTGGTTAGTGTCAAATAAATGGCTTATAAATTAAATTATCTATTCAGGCCTGTTGTGAATTATATATCATTCCTAATGTATTTTGGGGTATGTATTGTATAATATCATATAGGGCATCTGCCTGATGACCCAGGCAGTCCTCATGCAGCCAGTTTGATTAATTTGATAGTGTCATCGTGATCACTGTACCCCCTACCCCCCGAACGTGATCGTCAGCTAAGGAGCTACGGTGCCCTGAAGGGAAGGCCTTATTGGGGCATACTGTTTTGCCCTAACACTGTTAGTCATCCTTTTGTAGTACACGGTAGCACGCCCAACATTGGGAAGTGGTTAATGCTCTTACAGTCATAATGCTTGCAAAGCATCGGGGGGAGATCTAGTCCACAACATCTGGAGTGCCAATGTTTGCTGACCTCCTGCTCCAGAGTGTATTTTAATGGTCATATAGTTGACATTTTGGTATTAGTGCTTGGTTATGCTAAACCAGTCCTGCTTGTTTTCTCAGGGTTTGTGTTCATCACACAGAGCTTGTAGGGTGATGTCTGACCAGTTACCATGGCATTGGTAATTATCAGTTTTGGTTGTCTGCCAGGAATGTGGCTTGCCAACCTTATCCTCTTCTTTAGCTTCAGTTCAGAGATTGCAGCATGGGGAATCTGTACTACTGTCTTTCCCCTCTTTATTTATTTCCCCTTCCCCCCCCCCACATATTCCAAGTCTGTGTCAATTTTGTGGGTTCATGGGCTCAGCCAAATCCATATTATGTAAATATTCTTAAATGAATCCAAAGCACAGTTGGGCATGCCTTTCCTCTTTTTTTTTTCTTCTCCCTCCTCTGCATCAAACAGAAAATAGGAGGGCATATTTTTGTGAATAAACCACTAGCCTCTTCCACAGTGCTTTACAAGTAGTTTGTCATTTAAGTCAGTTTAAGAAAGGCTTGATGTAGTGTTCTTGTCACTTTTCTCCTTTTCATTTCTTTATGCCCTTGTAATCGTAATGCAGTTTTTTTGGTTTGTTTTTTTCCCAGGTGGCTTGTGTGTAAATTTGATTGGCAACTGACATGATTCCTTGCTTTAAGCCTCTCAAGTTTTACTTGCTTGTCTGCTAAGGAAAAGGCTTAATTTGATACCTTTTTTTTTTTTTTTTAAATGTATATTGTCAAAACTTGAACCCTCAAGAAAAAAAGTTAAACGGATACATGCATAGGCAACCAAAAATTGTTTTTTTTGTTTTGTTTTTGTTTTTTTCGTGACCGATGCCTTCAGCGGCTGTCAAACCCACTCATATACTTGTGTTGACTGTTGGGTTTTCATTGAAATCCCAACACCGTGAAAAGATAGGAAGACAAAGCTTGACAAAAAAGTGCAGTCAAGCCCACAGTCGTCACTAGTGGAGGGGAGAGGGGTGCCCTTATGAAGGATCTTCCATAACACTCAGTGTGTGTATATATAATGTGTGTGTTTTTTGGTTTTTTTTTGTGTGTGTTTTTTTTTTTTTATATCTATCTCTTGTGTGATGTCTTCTGGAGGCGTGCTTCTAGGGTGACTGTCCTATCCAATGCTTCGCATAGAGGAATATTAGGGACCATATGCGCATGGATGGCACATGCCTATATCCACCATTGATTCTTTCATAGATAAAAACAATAACTCATGCAACAAGACAGTTTTCAAAAATGTTTGTGGTTGTCTAATTTCCCCTGGCTTAGAGTGTGCCTTGTGCATTTTTACTTCACTTTTGGGCTCTTAAATGTAAATTTAAAAGCTGTAACAGAAAAGCTCATTGTAATTGGGGACGAGCTTCTGCATTGAAATCAAACTTGAAGGGTTACTCCAACCATTGTAACCACTACAGACCGATGTAGTGGTTACTCTGGCTTCTTCAGAGCTGGATATTGGTTGATCCTGTGACTTTCATTGGTTCAGTCTGTCAGCTACTCACTCTTAGCCAATGAATGAGCATTTCTACATAGAAATATGCAGAGTTAAACATTCCCGGCTGGCTAATGACATCCTGATGAATCTGCTAGAGGTAGTTACACTTGGCTGTAAAGTGGTTAAGCAGACTTCATAATGAAATGCTGCACATAGTTACTCTAGATCAGGGGTAGGCAACCTATGGCACTTGAGGTGTCTTTGCACGGCACTCAAGGCTGCTTGAGCCAAACAGGCTCTGGCCTATCAGGAGTCCCAGTAAAACTTAAAATATCTGCTTATACGAAAAGATGGTGAAGGACAATCTTCAATTTAAGCATTGCAGCACATAGAGGAAATGATCTCAGATCACTTCCTCCAAGCACTTGTGAATGGGAATCCACACCGTAGTAGAGCAGCCCTCGACAGCTATCACAGCTCCTGTCTTTGACCTGTACCAGGCCAGCCTGGTCCCCACTGGAACCCAGGGAAGCCAACCATACTGCTAGATATACACATATATTGTGGATCAAAGAAAGTGTTTATCTGAGTATCTGCTCCTTTCCAAATTGTTAAAATAAATGCGTGCACGCTCTGAAGTAAATTACACTGAGACACAGGTATCAGTTTAATTAAAAACTTGAATGTTTACTCAGGGGGCGGCAAGCCCCTTATAAAGGCAAAAATACATCATATGCAAAAATCTAGATAACAGAGAGAATACATCTTTAATTGGTTAGGTGTTAAATGTCTTATCTAATGCACATCCTACGAGGTGTGATGTCACCATCATCCCGGGACTTTACTCCGGATGTAGGTGCCATCTTGTTACACGAGGTAGTTAGTCGGTGGGAGGGGGTGCTCTAGCAGCCATTTTGAGCAGATATTGAATACAGGTATACACAGTAAATAGACTTTTTACTATCACTAATTTACATTCATAACACAGAAATGAAGAATAACCCTCACCTTATACAAATATGAACAGTCCACACACAAACACACACAATCTGCACAAACGTAACTCGCTAACAATCCACATACATGCACACAACCCCACATGCAGCCTCTCACATACAATACCCCAAACAACACTCACACTACCAAACACACAATGTGACATATCCATCCACACACAATTCCACAAGCAGCCCTCATACACAGCCCACATTCATATGTATCATACACAGTACCATAAACTACTCATGAACATATACAATATAATAGCTCATATACGCACAAATACAAAGCAATTACAGTAAAACACAAGCAGAATACGGCAGCATACACACCTCAATTTTAAAAAAAATAGGACCGGCACGCTACGGGACATCACAATCCCATATCGGCCCAGTGCTGCTAAAAGGTTGCCTACCCCTTCTCTAGACACTGACCATTTTAGTGATTTGAAGTATTGGCATAGACATCTAAACCTAAGAGATTCATCATTGTTTCTTCTACTCCTGTATTAATCTGTTGGCAATTATGGTTTCTATTAAACATTACAGTTTTAAGTCTTTTGAATTTCTAGTTGTTTACAGCCTACAATGCCGTTATGTATAACTTGGGTTAAGGTTGGTGTGTGTGTGTTTTTTTTTTTGTTTTTTTCTCTCTCTCTCTTTCTTGGTGTTGCGATGGATATAGAGAGAGAGGCACAAACCATTTTTTTTAATTTTTATTTATTTTTTGTTCTGTGGGGTATGCATTTTGAAATGCATGTCTTGTAATCAAATAACTTCCTTATGGCTCAAGAAAACTGTGTATTCCAATATATCTTACTGATAGTCTGCTTTTCAGTTAATGAAGCTAGGTGTTGCTTGCATATTTTTATTTATTTATTCTTCTGTGTGCACTAGTTTTAAAAACACATCCTAGGTACCAAAATCTGGTGCTTCTTAAATCCTGTCTTGCAGCCCTCCTAATGAACGGTGCTATTTTGATATATGGTGTCAGCATGGAAAATATGCTGCTGTAATTGCTGGGTGTGGCCTGTAGTTGACTGAGAAACTTTGTAGTAGATGCACTTAATGAGTTGTGGCTGCACTCATGCGGGGTAGGTCAGCGATGCTGCTCTGAAAAAGAGTGGCCACAGATTGTTGGTCTGGAAGAGTGTCAGGGAGCAGTGTGGTCATTGTCCTGGCACTGGTATGTTTTCATGGTTGTATTTTATTAAAAAGGAGACTACAGTAAAGGAATACATGTAACTTGACAAATGTTAGCAATTCTTTAAAGGGAAACTCCAGTGCCAGGGAAAACAGTTTTCCTGGCACTGCAGTTCCCCTCTCCCTCCCACCCCCCAATCCCCGGTTGCTGAAGGGGTGAAAACCCACATCGCTGCTTCTCATTCCGTGCCGCTCCTCCCTCTGATTGCGTCGGCCGATGCTAGAAACCAGGAAGTCTAGTAGACAGCCACTAGAGGTGGAGTTAACCCTGCAAGGTAATTATTGCAGTTCATAAACTGCGATAGTTAAACTTGCAGGGTTAAGAGTAGTGGGAGTTGGCACCCAGACCACTCCAATGGGCAGAAGTGGCCTGTGTGCCTGGAGTGTCTCTTTAAGTAGCTCAGACTTTCATTATCTTTTGTAGTCTTCACTGTTCTGATATTCTTCTCTTAATTGTATAGATTTAAAGATCAATCTTTGGGTGAGGAAAACGACAAACATCTGCTAGTGTTTAATTTGATGCCTACATTATCTCTTGGTTATATACTTAATGTATATGAAAGATTCCATAGAATGGCATTATCTTTCATGTGTCCTCTGATTCTTTTATTCAAGTGTGTAATTGTTTCACAGAATAAAAGTGAGTAGGTTTATTTCCCTACCTAAAATAAAATGTTTAAACTCTCTTTATAAAATACTCTGAGGTCTTTCTAGGAATTTGTTCACCATGCCTACTATAATTAACTTTACTGTAAATTATATATATAATTTTCCTCCTTTGTGACTGCATTGCCATTTATTTGTTCAGTCTTTACTCTAAAACGCTAATTTTAAAATTAAGGCAGCGGACTCCAGTGTAATCTCTGGTCAAAAATAGTTCTGAAACTGCATACCTGCACATCTTATTGGAATCAACTGCTCTGGTTACAATGACATGTAAATAATTCATTGTGGCATTTGCAAGATGCTTCTTGAGAAGCTATTGTCATTACAGCCTGTAACTGTATGCTTATCCATGTGCAAGAATAGGTGAAATGAAGCACCAGCTTAAAAAAAAAAAAAAAGCAGCTCAATAACTTAAATGCCTGTAGTCTGGCTAATAACGTCCTTACTGTGGTGCACCAGACCTTTACCAAATTAAAGGACCACTTCAGCTTAATGAAGTGGTCTGGGTGCCAGGTCCATCTAGGATTAACCCTTTCTGCTGTAAAGTTTGTTTACAAATTGGTTAATCCAGCCTCTAGGCTGTCTTTCTGACAGCTGCTAGAGATGCTTCTGCGCTTCTCACTGTGACTTTTCAGTGAGAAGACGCTAGCGTCCATAGGAAAGCATTGAAAATGCGCATGCACATTCAGCCGATGACTGGGAAAGGAGTCACCGGCGCTGGAAAAAGGGTAAGGGATTAACCCCTTCATCCTAGAGCCCGGCGTGAAGGGGACCCATGGACCCTATAGAGCCAGGAAAAGTTTTTCTGGCACAATAGGGGGTCCTTTAAGTTGCCTTAAAAGTAAATATTTTAATGTGTATATACTGAAGTCTAAGGGGCACTCCGGACACACAAACCTTTAAATAACCTGCACCTTCTCAAACGGTTTAACCCCTAAAGTGGCCTACAGCGCAAGCCTCTCCCTCGAGTACTGCTGGGAAGCAGTAAACTGACCTTCTCAGCCAATCACTGACTCCCCATTCACAAGGCTGGCTTGGAAAAGCATCTTTAGATGTAGTTATGGTGCCATAAGCATCCTAAACTACTTTTTTTTGTAGTCTATGGGTGCTATCTCTTTCAATTTTTGTGTAGAATATCAGGCTTTTCCCCACTTTAATGGTTGCTTATTTTATGTGCATCTGCTAAAATGTCACTGTATCTCTGCTTTCATCTCTCACTGTACTAATAATTTGGGCTTTAATTAGTGTTACATTTAATCTACAAATAATAGTGTAAATGCGGTCATGTAGATTTCTTCTTTCCTACTTGTCACCTGCATAAAGACCACAGAATAGCTATGATGATGAACAGTAAGTGAAAGCTCAAATCTCAAAATATGAGTGAATTATGATTCTATACTGTCTTGACTGGCTCACTTCATATTTTTAAAGTTGTGAGATTGTTCAAATTCTTGCATATTTGAATTGCAGTCTTGTTAATACTCCAATACATTTCAGAAGTCATAGTTGTTTGGGCTTGTGGCACTTATACTTATTTATTTTTGGGGGGTTTCTCCTCCCCATTTTAAGAAAGTATCAATATCTCACACTTTTATTTTCTCTTCCAGCGAGGATCTGACGAGCTTTTCTCTTGTGTTGCTAACGGACCCTTTATCATGAGCAACTCTGCTTCTGCAGGTAAGCACTTTTTTTTTATTTTTTTTATTTTTTTTTTACTTTATTTTTTTGGTGTATGTCTTTCAAAACTAGCAATTTAAAAAAAATTATAATTTTTGCTCCATGCACGGGCACTGCTGACCCTGTGCAGATTACTTGTCAAATGAGATCTATCAGAAATCCAGTGTAATTTACATTATTTCATAATTTAAGAATAAATGTAGTGCTCCGTACATGAATATATGTATTCCTATGCATTTTGTTCCATTGTCTTGTGTAATTTATTTGGCTTTTAAAGGGACACTAGTCACCAGAACTACAGCTTAATTGTTCTTGTATCTATGTCTGTGCAGGCCTTTTCATGTAAAGACTCTTTTCAGAAAGAAGTCCAGTGTTTAAATTACTGCTTAGGGACGCCTTCAGTGGTGGTCATTCTGGGTTATTGATGCACAACGTACATGGCTCTGCATGGATGCGCTGAACTTTTCATATAGAGATGCAGTGATTCAATGCATCTTTGAGGAAATGCTGATTGGCACTGTGTGACAATTTGCTGTGCATACCAAATAGCCTGGTCCAGCTAGATTTAACCCTTTTTTTTTTTTTTCTATAAACATAGCAGTTTCAAAGAAGGCACTATAGTGGTCCTTTAATGCTTCCCTATACACATTTGTATTCCTGACCCTTGAGTTTTCCTTTAATGCTCTTATCAATGTTTGCTGGCAGATTCTCAACCAGTTACTTTGATATCTGGAGGAGTTCAAGAGAAGTCTTGATAAGATTAGAGGTTTCAGTGCCCTTTGAGAGGTCTTCGAGTTGTCAGCAGTGTAGAGTCTCACCTCTTCTGTAGAGCAAAAATGTCTTCATTGTTTACACACACACACTCTTGTCAAAGATGCATACTTGACTTTTGCAGTCTTTAACTGGGATAACAATTTGCGTTTAGTTCCCTTGAGCTAAACCTTCTTTCTTATATGGATAAATGCTATAATTAATCTAAAATATAGATTAACTTCTTGCCTTCCAGTGTGTAGGTGTTGCGATTGCCTTTATCCTGTCTCAGATCACTTCCTCAAGCAAGGCAAACCTCCCTGATGCCAAAACATTGTGTTCTTTGAATGCTAGACAATTCTCACTTTAACAAAGTGAATTTAAATATTAAGGCTAAAATGACTGCATGGGTGGGGGTAGGGGGTCAGCTTTCGGTTTGAAATTACATTTTTTTTTTTTTTCAGAGAAACTGCTGTTTATGAATGGGTTAAGCCTTCCCCCTAATCCTCTAGTGGCTGTCTCATTGACAGCCACTAGAGGCGCTTGCGTGCTTCTCACTGTGATTTTCACAGTGAGAGCACGCAAGCGTCCCTAGGAAAGCATTGTAAATGCTTTCCTATGCGACGGGCTGAATGCGCGCGCAGCTCTTGCCGGGCGTGCGCATTCAGCCGACGGGGAGGAGAGAAGGAGGATCTGAGGAGGAGAGCTCCCTGCGCTGGAAAAATAAGTTTTAACCCCTTTCCAGAGCCGGGCGGGAGGGGGCACCCTCAGGGCACTATAGTGCCAGGAAAACGAGTATGTTTTCCTGGCACTATAGTGGTCCTTTAAGGTGAGGGTTTAAAAAAAATAAAAAATTTTATTTTTTTATTTTTTTTATTTTTATTAAAAATATTTAAAGCATCACGATCGGGTCAGGAACACAAACATGTATTCCTGACCCTATAGTGTTAAAACCACCATCTAGCCTCTAATGCCTCCTTAAATATAGCAAAATCTTACTGTATTCAAGCCAGAAGCTGTAGCTCTACGTGCTGTTTGCCTCAAAAATACCAAGCAGTCTGCTGACATCAGTAATGGTAGCCTGATCCAATCGCAATGCTTCCCCATAGGATTGGCTGAGACTGACAAGGAGGCAGATCAGGGGCAAAGCGCGCATGATTCAAACAGACCTGGCCAATCAGCATCTCCTCAGATGAATTGAATCAGTGAATCTGAGGAAAGTTCATTGTCTGCATGCAGAGGGAGGAGATGCTGAATGTTTGGATGCATTTTAGGCAGCCATGACCCAGGAAGGATCCCTAACAGCCATCTAAGGAGTGGCCAGTGAAGTTATCACTAGGCTGTAATGTAAACACTGCATATTCTCTGAAAAGACAGTGTTTACAGCAAAAAGTCTAAAGGTATCTTTCTACTCATTCAATGTTATACTCACCAGAACAAATTCAATAAGCTGTAGTTCTGGTGACTAGTGTCCCTTTAACCTCTTTGTTTGGGTTGCATAAACTGTGTGAGCGTTTTCTCTAACTACATTTTGCTTTATTTATAGCTAATGGAAATGACAGTAAGAAATTCAAAGGAGACAGCAGAAGTGTAGGTGTGGGCTCCAGGGTTATACATGTCCGTAAGCTGCCAATGGATGTAACAGAGGCTGAAGTCATATCCCTTGGTCTTCCTTTTGGCAAAGTTACTAATCTCCTGATGCTCAAAGGCAAAAACCAGGTACTTAAATTTTATGTTGGCATTCCCATTTTTCTTTTCCTAACACTACTACTAACAACAACTTTATGAAATACATATTTTGACTGTTGGAATTTCTCTCGTTTTAAAGTATGTCCTAGGTCCACAAGACATTGCATTGTTACAATAGGATACAATATTACGATACATACAACCGTTTTATTCTGTGCTGAGGTATATTGCCATAGATTTTAGTTTTTAGATTGAAATGAAGATTTGACAGCATCCCTGAGGTTACTCCATAATTGCAGTGCTCTGTAGGAAAAGGAGAATCGAGCCACTTTATTTTTGTGTTGCGGTATGCTAAATCCGATATCTTGTGAAATCTAGCTATTAGGCACCCCTGATCTAGTGGGATCCTCCATAGACAAAAATGTTGTACTACTGCATGTGCATGAGTTCAGCAGTGGCGTCTGCTCCAGAAGAGAACCCTTTGGGGGAAGATGGCCACACTTGCAAGGGTCTGGTTCAGTTAAGTAGAACTCCTGTTTACCTGCCCCTACTGGTGATGTCTATGCAAAGGCCCCAGATATTGACAGTGCTGCTTTAAAGTAAGCTAATCTAAATCTTTATTGGATGTGGTGTGTGTTAAAAAGATTTTTATATATATATTTTTTTTTTTTTTTTTTAAGGCATTTTTGGAAATGAGCACAGAGGAAGCTGCAAACACCATGGTAAGCTACTTCACCACAGTTACTCCAGTTCTACGAAGCCAGCCCATCTACATCCAGTTCTCCAACCACAAAGAATTGAAAACTGATAACTCTCCTAACCAAGCGGTGAGTTAACTGGTATGATTTTAGTATTGTAAAAACAATGCTTTGAGGTAATTATCTCTGCATACAAAGTTTTACACATCTTTACATCTTTGGGTCGATCATGCAAATTTAGTAAAAGCATTATGATTATTTGTGGTGAAAAATTCTGTCTGGGGTTTTTTTTCTCCTTTCTTGTGTTTTAAACCTTGTGCATTGTATGCTGCTGGCAGAGGCAAGGCGTCATGGTGCCAAAGTAAACTTGTATTTCATGTGTGGGAAGAACTGCTTTGAAACAAAATCCGTTGTTGTGGGCTTACAATTTAGAATATTTCTGTTGTGAACTAACTTATGATGGCGAGCAAAATTTGATTTGTGCACGTGTGAGAGATATTACAACTTTGTATTTTTTTTTTTTTTTTTTCCTCTCTCCAGAGAGCACAAGCGGCACTGCAGGCTGTGAATTCTGTTCAGTCTGGAAACATAGCACTATCTGCCACAGCTGCTGCAGTGGATGCTGGCATGGCAATGTCAGGACAGAGCCCAGTGCTGAGGATAATTGTGGAGAATTTGTTCTATCCAGTTACACTGGATGTCTTGCATCAGGTCAGGAAACGTTTAATTTGAAAGGAACTCTTCTTAAATGTCTGTTAGTTGGCTTATTAAGATGCTTTTTATGTAATTTTGGGAGTTTAGAATCTTTATACTCATTCAATGTTATACAATATTTATTAACTACCTATTAAAAGTGTATGTATATTTATTTTCTGTTTTTTTCTTTAGATATTTTCTAAGTTTGGGACTGTACTGAAAATAATAACGTTCACAAAGAACAACCAGTTTCAGGCACTTTTACAGTATAGTGACCCAGTGAGTGCCCAGCATGCCAAGCTTGTGAGTATGGCCTTCTACTTAGCCTATTACCCAACTGAATCCTGTACTTTTGTAATCTTCCCCCATCTCCAATATGTTTCCAATCTGTATTTGAACAAAGCTGGTATACGATCACCTGTAATTATTTTAACTAATTGTGCATATAATTCTCTCTAGTCTCTGGATGGGCAAAATATTTACAATGCTTGCTGTACACTTCGCATAGACTTCTCCAAACTCACCAGCCTTAATGTAAAGTATAACAATGACAAGAGTCGTGACTACACACGTCCTGATCTACCTTCAGGAGATGGACAGCCCTCCCTGGATCAGACCATTGCTGCCTTTGGTTAGTTTTGTTATTGGTCACCAAACTGCAATTTGCAAATATTTTGTCTGTCAGATCACTTTTTTTTTTTTTTCCTTCTTACGATTTCAATAATTGTATAATGGTTAACATTTCTCTTCCGTGACAGGGGCACCTGGACTGATTTCTGCCAACCCCTATGCAAGTGCTGGTTTTCCTCCAACATTTGCCATCCAACAAGGTAATGACTTAATCTAAATTTGGACAAAATATTTCAGAACATGAGTTTGTGTGTTTTTATTTATTTTTTTTTTAACCCCAACTGTGAAGAAATACAAAACTGTTCTATTTACTTAGGATTAGGGACCCGTCTAAATCTAAATACTGGAAACCCTTCTAAATACCCATAACGTGGAAGTGAACTATGAGAACTGTTTAGTGGCTGTTCATTGTGAGAACCGCAACAGAGTTATTTAACAATTAATGTAAATGTCTGTATTGGCTACATTAAGGTGTTTAAACTAAAGAATGCATTATTCAGCTGTCTTTGATTAAAAAGAATATAGCGTATGTCACTAATATACCTTATTACAAAATGCTAACTTTACCTAATTCCTGTTGACTAGTCTAACCTTCTATGACTGCAGTCCATATTGAATTACTGGTGCTTTATCAGGTTTTCTTTCTTATCTAGGTGTCCATGGAACCCTAACACAACTTGCTCTCCCTTCTGCTGCTGCCGCTGCAGCAGCAGCAGCAGGTCGTCTGGGTATCCATGGGCTTGGAATTCCTGGGAACTCTGTTCTGCTGGTTAGCAATCTGAACCCAGAGGTTAGTGGCATTCTGTTTTTGTTTGTATTAAAATGTAACCTATATGTACTTATTAGTCAACATTATATGAAGTGTATTCAGTCGATTACCTGGGATTTTCGACAAGCAGGATAACATTTTTTGATTATATTGACACTGCCACCTGCAAATACTAATTTTCTGGTGTAATCAGTTGGCATTCTGTCCTGCATTTTCTTCATCCTTTCTGACTTTGTCACAAACATGTTCTGGCATATTCTCATTTTCATGTCTAACTGCTGTTTTGTTCATTATAGCTTCAAAAACGAACACATCTGTTTACTAGTGTATAAATTCTGTAATCTTTGCGGTTCTAGACTGCAATCTATGATTCATGCCAGTAGTTGGGCAGGAATTTTGCTCTGGTAGTATTTGACCTTTTTTATTTTATAGATCTAGATATAAAGATTTTTCTCACTCCAGTTTCTTGTGCTGATACACAATTCTCACTATTTAATTTTGGGGTTTTTTCTGCTTACGTAAAAATGTATGTTCTTTCCTTTTTCTTTTTTTGTATTCGGTGGGGGGGGACTGACACCTTTTTTTAAACTACCCATGAAAGTCTATACCAAGTCACTATTGTAATGTAATAGCTATTCCGCTTTTTAGCGGTTAAAATATAAAGCCTTATTTGAAAGAAAAAGAGACAACAAAGTTCAGCTAATGTATATGACATTAAATGTGCACTTGTAGCTGTACAGGGCTTCCAACTGAACTGGGTCTTGAAATTAAAAGTTCTTTATATAAAGGCTAGTTAATTCTTAGAAAATACAGTGACAGTGTTTTAAGAGTTACCACTTTTAAGTGGCAGCTTGATGTTAGCTGTCATAAATTTATAAGGCAAAAAGTGGCAGTAAAAGTAATGCATCTTAGCTTTCAAAGACGCTGCATGGATATTGTCAATTTTTTGCAGGTTTTCGTACAAACTTTGTGTGTATAGTGTCACTTTAAAACTTGACTGCCTTTTTAAACTCTAAACCCTTTTAGTTATGACCTCTACATATTTCTTTTATATATATTTACTGACCAGTTTTTGCTACTTTTTTTTTTTCCTTTTCCCATTACCTCCTTTTTTTTGTTTTCTGTTGTCCCTTGATCCGGAATTTCTTTGCCAACTGACTGCACGGCAACTTCTGCTTCCTGTTGTGCTTGAAACAAAACATTCTCCCTTCCAAAAAAAAAAAAAATTACCCAAAAACCCTGCTGTCTGGATCCAACCTATCCTTCAAAATATTAACCACCTTGAATATCATCCGTCAACTGCTCCTACCACTCCTCCGGTGACACCTTCCTCGTGGACCATTTCTGCAAGCTGTGCTCTCCCCTTCGGCTCCTTTTCTCTACCCCTGTCCCTTCGCTGCCTTGCTCTGCTGTTTTCTAAAGAGAGTTACACCCCAATGCCTCTTTATTCTTTTCGGTATGTTCTGCACTTTTTTACATTTTATTTTCATTGTACTTTGTGGGTGGGGTCAGCATGCATTTGTATTGGGTGGAACTATCTGGGTTTTTAAAGGTGCAGTTGCCACTAATTTGTTGGGCTTGAAATTTTAATTCACTCTGGAGCACTGAACCTTTTTTGAATACAGCAGCTCGCATAAATGTGCTTATCTGTTTAACTGTCTTGTATCTGGCTTTAAACTATAGTGTTTAGGCGTCACTTTTTTATATTTGTATATAAAATAATTTGGCCAAACGAGTGCGGTTTTCCTTTTTTCTTCCTTAACCCCTTAAGGACCAAACTTCTGGAATAAAAGGGAATCATGACCTGTCACACATGTCATGTGTCCTTAAGGGGTTAAAGGGACACTATAAGCGACAAAATAACTTTAGCTTATTGAAGCAGTTTTGGTGTATAGATCATGCCTCTGCAGTCCCACAGCTCAATTATCTGCCTTTTAGGAGTTAAATCAGTGTTTATGCAGGGCTATAGTCACACCTCTCTGCATATTGCCTACAGTCTCCCTACATCCTTAAACAAGGATAGTTTAATGATATCTCTCTACACTAATTTTAAATATGCATCCTGTGTGAATAGACTGTAGCTTAAAGTTAAATTAATAAAGCAGACCCGAAGCTTCAATAAGTTGCAGTTGTTTTGGTGAATCGAGTGTCACTTTAAAGCATTCCACAGTAAAAAGTACTGTATTTAATATTGAATAACTATTGATGCCTTTTCTTTTCAGAGTATGAAATCTGTATTTAAATTTGTGGAGAAAATTTTTTTTTTTTTATCCCTTAAGCTTGTAAAAGTAGTCTCTACTGTGCCAATGTAGACCTGCTATTGTTGGCACACACATTGGAATATATATATTCCAGTCACAGCAATGTCTATAGTTGTTCCTATAGATGTCTTACTGTGTTGCCTTTCTATGGCTTGCCCCTACTGACAAATCCTGGTGTCTCCATCTGCATGTACTGGCTAGCAGACTGCATTGGGAACAGTAGTTTGCTTTGCTCTTCGGTTAGAAGCTTTATTACTTGCTTGACATCCTTAAACCAGAGCTCTTGGTTTAATGGAAGGTGACAATCTAGTTCATGTCCACCCCTTATTCAGTAAAGCTAATGGTTAGGTTTTAATTTGTCTGTAATGCTCACTCCTGGACTTGCTGTCCCTTGTGTAAAATATTTTAAACACACATTCCTTAAATGAGCGCTTTTCAAGTTTTCCATCAACTTATGTGGCATTTGCACATCTGCTTGCAATGTTAATGGGTTTGCATTGGGTGCACACATGTATTGAGCATTGGATTTGTTGGTGTGTTTTGTCAAAATGTACACTATATACTAAACAGCTTTGTTTTCCACTTCCTAAGGTGTGTATGGTGATGTGCACAGAGTGAAAATTCTCTTTAACAAAAAGGAAAATGCACTTGTGCAGATGGCAGATGGCAACCAGGCTCAACTGGGTAAGAACACTTCTGTCCTCTAGTGGTAGCCTGCATTACTTTGCTTGATGTAATCTCATTGAAAGTAAAATAACTTTAGTCTCAAGGGTTAGTCCATTAAAAAGGCAGGTCTCACTTATCGACCTATATGTTGTATAGTACCTTGTACAAACGTGCATTACATAACACATTCGCTTAGTCCTGCTGAAGTAGGAACTTAAGTGTACTGTAGCTCAAACTGCATTTTTGGGTTTTATAAACATCATGAAACCTTACCAGAATCCTCAAGCTGCTGTAATCACTGTTTTTAAATTCTACTTTTGTATTTTCAATGCAGCAATGAGCCATCTAAATGGTCAGAGACTTCATGGAAAACCACTTCGTATCACAGTGTCAAAGCATCAGACTGTTCAGTTGCCAAGAGAGGGACAAGAGGACCAGGGTTTAACTAAAGACTACGGTAGCTCTCCTCTCCATCGATTTAAGAAACCAGGCTCTAAAAATTTCCAGAATATCTTCCCACCATCTGCAACGTTGCACCTTTCAAATATCCCGTAAGTTGCTCTGATTTACCTTGTATCACAAAATACAAATTCCTTTTAAACCCTATGTTGACTTGATTGTTCATGTGTATATGCTGGTTTTGGATTAATTCTGTGTATGTATATATGCATTTTTTTTTTTTTTCAGTGTGCAGATGGAAATATTTTGTGTTTGAAAGTACTTTGTGTGTGTGTATGTATTCTCACTCTTCCCAAGGTGCCTGTAGCCTTCCCCTTCACTTGCACACAGTCACACTAATGCAATGGGTATATGCGTAAGTGCCAGAGAACACTGGTTTGTGCCAAAAAGCTCACCATTTCGCACTAAAACTAGGACATGGCCTGCTAGCTGTAGAACTTTTTACAATAGGCTGCAGGCATGGTGCTAAATGTCCCTTAATTTCTATATTTAACAAGTGATTTTGGTTGCTTTAAAAAAAGCAGTTGAATTGACTACAATTATAATCTTTCTTTCTTTTAGACCCACTGTATCTGAAGAAGATTTAAAGATGCTGTTTTCAAATGATGGTTATACAGTGAAAGGATTTAAATTTTTCCAGTAAGTTTAAGTTTTGGAAAGCTGCATGTTTGCAGACTGTTGCAAAGTTTAAATAATTATTTTTTTTTTCTTTTCTACTCCCTTTACAGGAAGGACCGCAAAATGGCCCTGATACAAATGGGTTCTGTGGAGGAAGCCATAGAGTCTCTAATTGAACTTCACAACCATGACATGGGTGAAAATCACCACCTGCGTGTGTCCTTCTCTAAATCCACCATCTAATGGTTGGGTTTGTGGAGAGACAAAGAACTCTTAAAGCCCAAAGAGTGGCTTCTGAAGGCAGAGGTCATTCCCCAGGGCCCACTTCCATCATTCCAGATGAAAAGCCACTTTACGGAAAAGTGCAGTTCAAGTGTCCTTGGAAACTAGATTTGTGTTAATTTTTTTTTTTTTTTTTTTTAAATTGTTTAGAAATCCATTTATTGGTTTAAGAATGCACTCGTGGGAATTTGGGACGTTGCTTGGGGAGGATTCCTGTCACCATGTGTATTGAGAGCTTGTCCACTAGGGCAGAGCAATCACTTTTATATGCTTGCAGTAGGTCAGGTATCCATATTCATGGACCAATATTGGGGTATGCAGTGCCTTCTATTCAGGTTCCCTATACATTTAATTTGGTGTAGGTGTTTGTTTTGAGTTTTACTGGACTTCGTGAATTTGTATATTTAAATATCCTTTCTTTTTACATAAGGAAACTTTTTTTTTTTTTTTTTTTAATATAAATATAAATTCAGAAGAAAAGATGTGAGCTGTGGGACAAGGTATAACCTATGTCAACTATAGAGCTGTGCCTTAAATCTCTGAAGCAGGGCTGTTTTCATTTGCTATAATCTCTGCAGTTTGTATACATGGTCTTGGATATTTGCCCACTGATCAAAAACGTGTTCCAACATCACGATCTGCACTTTTACCCCTTGCCCCTCCCCAAGCAAAACGTGGCTTTATTAATCATTCCATGCAAATTTTTGACCAAATCATTTTTTGTTTTAATTCGTTATTCCTCTTTGTTTTAAAGTGAACTTGTGTTTACTGTGGAATTCAGTTTCTATGCTGCTTTGCATACACCTTTTTGTTTTTAAGTGAATTAATCTGAACTTCCTCAGATGAGATGCAGATTCCATGTCTGAGAGATTTTTGTATTGTATATTTAGAAGGCTAAATTTTTCCCTTACTAGGTTTTATGTACATTCCTTATGTGTTCATGCATCACACTCCTCTCACTCAATGCCTTAAGTCACCCTACTGGGTGTTAAGCCTTCTAATGTTTCAGGTTTACACTTTAATGATATTGGACCAAGTCTTTCAGATGTTACCATGTGACCTAGTCTCAGGCTTCCACACACTCCTATATTGAAGGGGGATGTATGTTACATATTCTAGATTGCCTTGTCTTAACAAAAAAAAAAAAAAGTATGATTCAAAACTTGGTCATGTGTAAAATAGGCTAGCAATGTTCCAACCACCTGGCGCATATATATGAACATCATTGCATATTTGTGCAAGTCTTGACAAAGTGTATCTATTTGTCAGAATGCATTGATGTTAAATGCTGGACCGGCACACAGTTTTTGGTGGGGTTTTTTTTTTTTTTTTTTGTAGTAGTCTGACAGGCAATTGTAACACCCTCTGAGAATAATGGGAGGTGTACACCACCTGTAAAGGTATTTGACTACCAGTACACTAGAAAGTATAGAATTACTATACACTACCTTAATACAACTATCTGAAAACGTTAGTGCCTTATTATACCACATGGACTAACTTCTGCTCAAATATTTGTATGCCAGTACTTAAATTTAAAAAATATTTTTATTTTTTTCCTCCTGAGGGATGTTAAGGTGCATCATGTGAATCGCAGCTAGAGCTCACTCCCAGTGCGCAGTTCACTAATGTATTCAAGAACTGTAAATATGTGTAGCTTTTTATATACATGTTTTTTCTGCAAAAGCTGCAAAACAATATATTTTTTTTTTGTGGTTTAAACTGTATATTTTGATAACTTTTTTCAGAAGGATTACAGTATTGTGGGGTGCCGAGATGAGACAGCTAAAATCCATTACCTCTAATCATATGTTTGTACGGAAAAGACAAATTAAAAACAAACTATTTTATAAGAAACGTTTATACTTCTCATTAGATATTTTGTTCAGACTATAGCAATCAGTTATCACCCAGTATTTGTATGGGCTTATAAATAAACTACTTTATTCTTCACTTTTTTTTTTCCCCATCTGGTTTTTAATCTGTTTCTTCCTTAATACAGTTTCTACTTCTGGTTCTTTTTCTGACTTGGTTTACCTCTGCTTAAGGGTTGGGCAAATGCAACAGAGCTGAGTGATAACAGTAAAGTTAAGACGGTTTGCTAGAAGGCCTCTGTAGTTCTTCCAATCCCTGTAAAAGCCCATGTTGTGTAATAATTTGAAGAGGTGTGTATATGTGTGTGTGTGTGTGTGTGTATATATATATATATATATATATAATTTTTTTTGCCTGTTTAAAATGTAAATTTCTAAACAATTTAAGGTTTTCCTGTGTTCTAGTTATGTTGTTTCTTTGTACAAGCTATAGAGTAAATTTGCAATGAAATGTGTCTGTTACTGTAGCTCTCATTGCTAGGCTTCTCTAGGAGCTAATTGGTACCTTTTTTATGCTTCTAGGTGAATAGCTTGAGTTTTATTGCTATAGCCAATAAAAGGATGGAGGGATAAAATACCTCCTTACCAAACGAGCAAAAAATACTACTTTGCTGGAAAGTATTGGTATGAATGGACCTCGAACTTAACACATAACAGGCACTGACAGAGGTCTGTGGACCTTATGGGAAAATAGGCTGTTGCAGCAGAGCAAATTTGGGATGATCTTGAAAACTGAGATGGCAAACAAAAACTTGTACTACTGACCTAAAGAAAGATGTATGGAACAAGTGTGAATTAGAAAGCTGAATAACTGGTCTCCATCAATAAGGCAGGTCTTAAAAGCTATGCAGTTTGGTGTCTAGGTGGTGCTTACTTTATGGAAAAGTGAATTAACAATGTAGTGGTTAGGCAGACAGTGCCCTAGCTGCCACTCCCATTCTCAAGTCATAACACTTGTTTTTTGGTCTGCTGGTCAACACTCTCAATTTCCACTATTTTAGACCTAGAGGTTTAATCTGTCAGCAATACATTAATCAGGTGGGGAATGATTCATTCTCCTTTTGTAGATGGTCTTTTGCACTCAGCGACGATATCCACTAATTTCAAATGGACAAAGGAGAATACTTTAATTTTAGGACTATGAGTGCAGGTGTGGTCTTACACATTTAGATGGCATTGCAACTTAATGTGATGGTCCACCTGGCACCCTGACTGGGGATCTCCATCAATCGCTGCTTCCTATTAATCCTCAAGTACCATGTCATTGAAAAGAGGGACCAGCTGTCTCCTTTGGATATCTTCGGCTGCTGGTGAGGAGAGGCCGGTTGTCTCCTCTCCCTGTAAGGTAAGCTGCCGCTGGGGAGTCAGACTGACTGTCACGACTCCTGGTAACACTGCCTGGTGCTGAACTGCTTCTATTAGCTTCTGGTTTTCCTGCTCTAGTTCCCATTCTATAGCAACCAGACAAGTGATATCTGGTCCCAGGCCTGCAGTACTGGGGATCTTGAATGCGTCCATACGGTATTCACGAATGTCCCAATACCTAGACCGTCTTCCTGTGGCCAATGACTGCGATCTGCAGCATGTGATCCTTGACAGCCAGTCACTGTGATCAATGATTTCAAATCCCTGGCTGTACCTTTCTCTGTCACCTCACTTCGATCTGCAAGAGAGGTAGAGAGATCATTGGTGTAGCAGCTTCTGTTGAAAAGTTTTTGAAACTTTTGGATTTTAACCGTTTCAGTGCTGATCAGTGTTAATGCTGTGATCAGCCTGGTTATGGCTTTTAGTACTCTTGTACTATGATTATTTGGGTAAAAACAATTTACAAATCTTTTTGACCCTTTGTCAGTTACAGCAACCCAAATCTCCCTTAACCCATTCCATGTTGCTGTGATCAGAGGACTCTGATCAGACTGACCTTTTTTAGGGTTATTTTTAATAAAAATAAAATTTAGTGATCGCAGCTGACTAAACTGATCAGTACATTTATTTTTTTTGAGGGTGGTGGTGGGTGTTAGGCAGGTAGATAATTAATAGGTAATTACCCCCTTGGTGTTTGGTTTTTTTTGTTATTTTTTATTTATTTGTTCTTTCTTTAAGGCATGTGAGTTGGGTTACAGAATGCAGAAAGGGAAATGTACAGGTTGAATACAAGATAGGGATATCACAGCAGTGATTAACATTTCTTAGATAGTGATGAGAATTTAAATACGCTAAACTGTTGCGTTTGGTAGGTAAGACATGAGTAGGTGCACAGGGTTAAAACAGTATGTATGCTATATAAAAACAGTGTAGGTTAACTGGAGGTAGGATAGGTACCCAGGACTAGCTAATAGGTAAGACCTTCTGAACTGACATATCAAACCATATAGTTGCTATGCCCCTAGGTGCAGGGCTAGGAAATCTGAGGTGAGTGTTGGTAGCTATACCAAGCTTGGTTAGCTCGCTTGAGTTTAGTAAATTATCCTCTAATACATTCAAACATTAACAGGCTGAGCCACAGGATTAACTGCAAGTTATAGCCGTAGGTGAGTGTAACTGTAAGGTTGAAAGGCTGAGTGTGTGTATATATAATTTGGGAATTCCCCAACACATAGCATTGCCTTTTTTTAATTTATATTTTTTTTTTTTTGGGTGTAAACCATCAGAAATTTACAGTCTATGCTGACCTGGTAGAACTGACATAAAGGTTAATAGTTTAGGGACTATTGCTTATGTGTAGTAAAGGCTTACGGCGTAGTCATGAGCATGCAGTTAAGTACAGTCCGTGTTATGAGGGAGTGATTCCCCGGGTGGCCGCACATGTATAGCATAAAAATCTATAACTAAGCAGAACAATTGCATGATTTTGCTATTACATGACGAAAAGTCAAGATTTTATTAAAGACACGGAGGCGAGTATTGCATATCCCTTTCTTTACTGTCCACCAATAGCAGCAAAGGATATAAACAGAATGAAAAAACAATGAACATACAGTGACATAGGCCCCTCCCTGCACATGTCCCAGTATAATAGGCAGCACTTCCCTTATATTTCCCTCTTTCTGAAGATGCGACACTATACACAGTCCAAAGATAAATGAAAACAGAAAAACTTCAACCCAAGGAGGATCATAACATCAAATAACATGGAAGCACAACTTGCTGCCTGCCGACCAAACTGTATTTGCAGGGAGAGATCTTGACACGCTGAAGCCAGACATTCCACCGGAGTAGATTAAGGCTGTGAAAACATAAAGAAACAGGAGCCCAAGGGTTAAACCGGTACATGAGGCTGACATCCAGGCCAGACAGAGCAAGGGCCCTCCAATATCTACAGATAAGTAACCAGATAGACCCAAACTGACAGTTACAAAGTCAAATCCCTTCCAACACAGATCCCACTTACCGTACCAATCAAAGCGATACGTGTCACCTATATATTGAAATAAACTAACAAGTTATAACCTGCGTAGTATAAAACGGGTGGGACAATACTCCCCTCCGTGTCTTTAATAAATTCATGACTTTTCGTCATGTAATGTCATAAAATTGCATGATTTTGCTAAGACATGGAGGCACATATTGCAAGTTTAAAGCTGATCGATTACTGCCGCGAACGTATGCGGAACCGGTCTGAAGTAGAATTCCCGGAAAACCGATTCCCACAACCAGTTGGTCATCTTCATGAGGTCCTCCAGGCACGCGCCTGAAGCCATCATTGAGGATGCGGAGGCCCCTCTGATCGAACGTGCGCCGAAAATTGCAGTGTCAATACCGGCTTGAGAGAGTAACCATTTAACCCATCAAGACAAAGTGGTGCTAGTTACGGGTTGAAACGGCGGACGGGTAGATAAAAATAGCTGGGGGGAGGATGCGGAACAGTGTAGCTTGGTGCGATCCTCATATGCGCGTAGGCAAGCCACCGGACACAGCGCTGGTGTAGTGGAGAAACTCGGATAGGATACTGACCTAATAGATGTTTTGGTGCGTCTGCTGATATTGAATGTCACTCCTTCTGGGGTGTACGATCTGGCATTAAAGTCCAGTGCTCAGACATCCGAGACCCTCTTACAGAAGACGAGACAAAACAAACAGGCCAGTTTGGCTGAAAGTTGTCTCAGGGAGAGCGCGGAATCAGTGGGCCAAGAAGCGAGGAAGGATAACACCACCGATACATCCCAAGTTGTATAGCACGGTCTGGGTGGCCGAGAGAGGCAAGAACCTTTAAGGAGTTGGCACACCAAAGGGTGCTGGCCCACTGGGCAGCCATCGAAACCCTGATGTGTTGAGGAGATAGCTGATCGATATAGGTTGATGGTTCTGTATGCCTTACCTGTTTCAAAGAGGGAAGTCAGGAACTGTAGGACCGCAGTTACAGGGGCTGAAACGGGATCCATGTCCCGAGCCAGGCACCAACCAGCCCAAGCTCGCCAAGCTGACCCATATGCCCTAGTAGTGTCTGAAACTCCCTGGACCTCCCAGAGTCCCCTGAAATCCGCCACGCCAGCAGCAGGAGGGAGCCCTCTAACCGGAGAGGGTGGCTACACCCTATCGGATCCCGAAGAAGTTCCTGATAGGGTGGCAACAGTCTGGGATGATCTATCGTCATCCCAAGAAGTTGAGGGAACCATGATTGTGTGTCACAGAACGGGGTCACTAGGACCAGTTGGGCCTGATATCTGCAAGAGTGTAGAAGGGCGCGAGGGATCATGGAGAACGGGGGAAAGGCATATAGGAGGTCTCCGCTCCAAACCTGCAGGAAGGCGTCCACTGCCTCCGCCGCCGGATCCGGCCTCCAGCTGAAGAATCGAGGGAGCTGGGTGTTGGGCCGGGAGGGGAATAGGTCTATCGCAAAAGGTCCCCAAAGAGACGATATACTGGAGAACACGTTCGTGTCCAATTTCCAGTCGCTGACTTCCAATAGATATCGTGAGCCACAGTCCGCCTGGACGTTGTGCAGTCCTGGCAGGTATTCCGCTTGAACCACCAGGTTCCGGTCTAAGCAAAAGTCCCAAAAGTCTTTCGCCAATCTGGCCAGGACCGCAGATTGAGTACCGCCCAAGTGGTTGACATGCCTCACCACTGATACGTTGTCCATGCGGAGGCGGATGCATGTATGGGCTCTGTCCCTCGCGAAGCTGTGGATCTTGAAGGAGCCTGCCAAGAGTTCCAATGCGTTGATGTGAAGTCGGGATTCTGATTCCGACCAACGACCCCATGTCGCCACACCTGCGCAATGAGTCCCCCAGCCATGGAGGCTAGAATCTGAGACGATGGTGAACTCCGGCATGGAGCCGAAGATTGCCCTGCCGTTTCAAACACAGGTTGAGGATCCACCATCGCAATTCATCTTTTGTCTCTTTGTCTAGAGATACCAGGTATATGGTTAGACGAATGCCTCGACTGCGTAGCCAGGCCATGGCTGGGCGCAGCAGTTTTGTGAAGCACCATGGTGCTGATGATAGGCCAAAGGGTAGGCATGTGAATCGCCAAGTCCCTGTCCGACCAATGGACATGCAGGAGATCTTGGGATGCTTCGGCTAAAGGCACGGTGAGATATGCATCCTTGAGATCCAGCTTTACCAACCAGTCCCCCTGAAGGAGTAGATCTCTCAACAGATGGATACCCTCCATCTTGAAATGGCGGTACTTGACCATAGCATTGAGTGGGCGCAGATTTATGACTGGGCGCATTTGACCGCCTTTCTTTTCCACTAGGAAAATATTGCTTACGACTCCTGTGGAGTCCGGGGGTGCCCGTTCTATCACTCTCTTGGTGAGGAGCAAGGATAGTTCTTTGTCGTTCGACCTGCGATCCCGGATGGAGAAGCAGATTGGTCGAGGAGGCGGGATAGTTACAGGGTTCCCCACAAGGTCTATGTGGAAACCTTGAATGGTGTTTAGTACTCAGGGGTCGGAGGTTAACTGTGCCGAGGCTGGGAAAAAATGTTGGAGTCTGCCCCTACATGTGAAGAAACATGAGGTATGAGTAAACTCACCATAGGGTCTTCTGGAGCCGGTGTTACCCCGGAAACCTCTGGATCGCCACGGGCGCTAGCGTGATGGGAAGAATGGGGAGCGGGCATTTGTCTCCTGGAAGTTGGAGCAGTGCTGAAAAGAGCCTCGTCCCGAGCCACGGGACTGAAAGTAGGACCGGCTGGACAGACGGCTCCTGGATCTGCCGGCCCTGGTAGAGACCCTTCCCTGAAAAACCCGTCTCATGGAGGTTTGGGCCTTGTCAAGGGCCGTGAATGCTCCCACAAAGCGCCCCAGGTCTTTAATGAAGGAGTCGCCAAATAATAATCCTTGGGTGTCCTTCCCAGCCTCTGTTAGGGCAAGGTTGGCCAGTTTAGGCTCTATTTTAAACAAAATGGCTTTACACCGTTCAATAGAGAGGGAGGTGTTTACGCTCCCGGCGATACAAATAGCCCTTTGGACCCAACCACGGAGGTCTTCGGGGTCAACCATATGTTTTCCGGCTCTGGCATCCTCCGCCAGTTCGAAAAGTTTTGCCAGCGGACCAAATATGTCTAAGTGTTTATCCTGGCATTCTTTTAGGGCAGAGTCTAGGCCCTTACGTGGGTTCCTGCCCATCTTAGTTAGGAACTGGGTGATTTTTGGATCAACTTCGGGGGTATCTTAGACTTTATTCGGCACCGTAGTCCTTGGGCACTCTGCCCTCAGTTTGTTCAGTGCCGCTTTACTGAGCGGGTGTCGTACCCAATTTTTAAGGTACTTGGCTACATGGTCCGCTGGGAGCCACTCCACTGATCTCAGATGATGAAGTTCATCTGGGTCAAAGAGAGGTTCTCCCAACGGATCCAAGAGGCTGGACCCCTGGATTGTGGGGTGAAGCGCCCCCGTGTCACCTCCGGACGTCTCTGTCTGAGCAGAGGGAAGGAGGTCAAGGCCCAGCTCAGCAGTCTCAACCTCAGTCATCATCCGACTCAACCATAGCCTCCTCACCTGACCCGATTTCTGAGTCTGAGTCACTCAGGTTGTGCTCTAGCACATTTCCAGAGCCGCGCCCATTCTGCCTGGCGCGGAAAGGCTCTTTTGCGTGGGTGGCACACGCTTTCTGGGGCGACCGTAGGTACGCCAGTCATAACAGTTCTGGAGGCAGAGGGGTGTTTGGACTTATGGGTCGCCTTCTTAGATGCGCCCTCAGACAGGTCCATAGTGGGACACAGAAGAGGCATCGTGGAACCTGACATTTGCGCGTCCAAAGGATGTGGCAGGAGGGCTTGGGAGATGGTATGGGAAAGGGTAGAAGACATGGACCCCATGGCTGCCATAATGGCATCTGTCATTGAGCGCTGTAGCGCCAAGAATTGGTCACTTTCAGGTTGGGTGGGTCTATATGCCAGAGTAGATGGCGTGTCATAGATGACAGGGGTCTCTCCCAGAGGCAAAGGGGCATCTCTCACCCCAGAGGGTGGTGAGCTGGAAGGCATCCTGGGTTTGGGCATAATGGATTCAGCTCAAAATTCCTACCAGTGAGGTTGCAGAGTAGTAAGGGTTAGTCACCCAAACTATAGGGAACAAGAATGATAGGGATCTTACCAGGGTCCAGACCAGAGGCACACAGACACACACAAGGTAGTATGAGAGACAGGAAGTCAGAAAATGGCCGCCACGAGTCTCGCGAGATTCGCGGCAAAACCAGTGAATTCGGCAATAGAAAAGAACCGAATGTGCAGTAAAATAGGTGAATTCGCGTGAATAAAACAGGCGAATGTAAAAACAGGCGAATGAGTAAAACGCACTAATCAATTAGTCGAACGCGGCAAATAGGCGAATGTGCTATATCCCGGTGAAACTAACGAATGGTCTGGATTCGTGAATTCAGCCGGACTGCATGATACATGCACAAAACAGCCGAACGGAACGGGGAAAGCAGCGCAAAATAGCGCCAGAGGACAGGGAGAGGAGAGATGGCAAGAAAAAGAATAAGAGAGAGAAATAATCATAGAAGAAGTCAAAACTGAGAGTGCATAGATAGATATTTGACACAGGAGGTCTGGAATCCTGGGAGACAAACCATATGTGTATACAGACATACAATAAACATAAATAGATAAACTGAGGAGAAAAATAAAAATTCTTAATAGAATCAAATAGAAGAATAGTATTGAATCTGTCAATAAGGAAGCAATACAACAATAAATAGCAGAATAACAACCATAACTGACACAATAAACAAGTAATCAATGAGAGGAAAAATGTGAGCTGTTACTTATCTTTGGAGCAGCAAAGAAAGAGGGAAATGGAAGGGAAGTGCTGCCTATTATACTGGGACATGTGCAGGGAGGGGCCTATGTCACTGTATGTTCATTGTTTTTTCATTCTGTTTATATCCTTTGCTGCTATTGGTGGACAGTAAAGAAAGGGATATGCAATATGAGCCTCTGTGTCTTGTCATAAAATTATTAATAACTACGGCAATGTTGCACTCCGCGACTGGCAGGGATCACGGCCACGGATCCTTGCTGGTGAGGGAAGCAAATGAGTGGAGTAGGTTAAAATGGCTACAGTGGTAGTGTCTCCTGCCCCAATGTCCCATGCTTTTACCCTATACCCTTGCTGACTAGGAGGGCGGCAAACTGTGATTGTCCCAGTAGTCCATGTTTGGCCACTCCTCCGGCCCCAGGCCTCCTTAAGGGCTCCTGTGCAGTTCCCATTGCTCCAGTTGCTGACTGCTCCCTAAGCGAAATCTCGGGCGGTTGTAAGGTGGTAGCGAGCTGTCCACGTATGTGGGGTAAGAGTTGGAGTGTTCCCCCTTTGGGCCCTCAGCCCAGGAAGGCAGTAGCGGGCATTGGACTTGGTGGGCTGCGCTTCTTCGTTGGTCTCCTCTTCTTAGGTGTGTGCACTCTCCGGCTCCCGCCATTCGCAGGGTGCGGTTTGTCAGAGGGTGAGTATCTCAGCTCAGCTTGCTTCTGCTGCCCCTTCAGTTTGGACCCCTCTGTTCTGCCAAAGTCTATCGAAGTCTTCCAATCGCTGCTAGAGTGTCATTTGTCAGCATAGTGTATACGCAGCTTGCTTAGCCGCCGCCATCTTGGGTCGATTAGTGCCGCTCAATGCCTGTGTTGTATGCTGCTACTTCACTTGATTGCCCTATGTGGGAGAGCCTGCTTAATTGTACTAGGGGGGGAGAGAGAACAGAAGTCCCAACCATGGCAGCAGTTTCTAGCAGAGCGCCTAGCAGGGAGATCAGCCACGTCTCCCTTGCCTGCCTCCAGCGGTAGGCTGCAGTGCGTCGTCTGTGTTTCAGCATCTGGTAGTGTTCAGAAGTCTCCCAAAGTTAGCCTCAGGTTGACCCTAGTTATGCTCTGTGCTGAGTGTAGTTATGGTGTTAAATTTGATAAATTATGTGAATCCTCTACTGGTTACATATGGGCGTTTCATATTTAGCAGTGGAAGGATAACCATCTTAACCCACCAGGATGCCCTGATTCTGTGGGTATAAGTGGCAAGATTGTTTGGTATCTAATCCTTCCCTTGTTAAATAAGGGATACGGGCTATGGAATGACTATTACTATACCAGTATAGAATTATTTAAAAATTTATATTGCTTTGAAACCCTAGCCTGTGGCACAGTGAGGAAGAATAGCAAGGGTTTCCCCCAAGCCGTTGCAAGCGGCAGAAGTAGAGGTTTCTCTTCAGTTCTCCGCCAGGATGAGTTTCTTGCCCTTCGCTTCACAGATAGGAAGGATGTATACATGCTGGCTCTGATGCACGACGAAAGTACAGTGCCAGTGTTTGTGAGAGGTAGCACTGAGCATCTGGAAAAGCCTAAGTGCATTGTGGACTACAGCAGGTTTATGGGGGGAGTAGACTTGGCTGACCTATAAAAGAGGTCATAGGTAAGCCCTGCCCTTTCCTAGAGTTCATGCTAAGGCTTTTATCCCATGTTATTTACACAGCTCCCCCCCAATCCCAGTTTGGAATCAGGAGATCTCCAAAGACTTACATTCCCGAATCCCACCCCCAGTAAAAAAAAAAAGCTCCCCAAAGAAAGTGATGTGTTTACTACAAGAAAAGAGTCCAAAAGGACTCCAGTTATTATTGTCCAATCTGCCCATCTCTACCCGCCCTCTGCATAACAGACTGTTTCCAAGTCTACCATACAGAGCTGAACTACTAAATCACTCTGTATGGGCATTTGGCAGTTTGCTTGATTTCCCTGGATTTCTGACCTCGGCTTGTCCTGGCTACGCTGTGCTAGCTGCTTGTACTGACCTATTGGCTTCTTTCACCGACTATTCTGACTTCTGGATTCCCCTGATCTTGGTCTGTCCCTGTTTACGCTAGCCATTGTAAAGTGGCTCCACCAAACAACTCAAAGCACTACATTTGTAGTACTTGACATATGCCTTCCCCCCCCAAAAAAAAACTTTAGTCACAGAGTTAATGCTGTGCTTAGCACTGAAAGGGTTAATAATATATATTAAAAAAAAAAAAAAATGTTTTTAACTTCTCAAACTTTTCACACAGTAACTCTGTGAGATCAAAGATCTCTGTCTCTCTGCCTTCAGATTAACGTATGTGGGCAGGGGACATGGTATTTCCTGTGAGTCTCACAAGGCATTTGCCTAGGGCGGCACTTTCTGGGGCGGGTGGCAAAAAAAAAAGCCACCCCTAATGGCCCTGGCAAATGCCTTGCCAGCCTCTTGTCCTGGGGGCCCAGGAGCGGGCCGGGTGGCCACCTCAGGGCTCCCTGAGACTGGCAGCGGCGACACTTGGCGGGCAGCGAGGGAGCACTGTTCCTCCTGTACAGCTCCCTCGCGCACCGCAGTGATGCCAGAGCCGGAATATAATGCCGCGCCAACATCACTACATGGCGCGAGGGAGTTGAACAGGAGGATCAGTGCTCTCTCGCCGACTGCAGTGACCAGCCGCCCGCCCAGCAGCCCCACTGGACCCCAGGGAAAATGAGTATCCACCCCAGCACTCCTAAAGGTAGGGAGGCTGGGGGGATTGAATTAAAAAAAAATGTGTGTGTGTGTCAGGGAGTGTGTTACTATATGTGTCTGTTAGAGAATGTGTCAGTGAGTGAGTATGTACGTCTGTTAGCTAGTGTGTGTATCTGTATTTAGATGCCTAAGGCAGCACAAAACCAGAATACACCACTGTATGTGGGGTTACTGTTCTATACCTGTTATATAATAAAAACCTGGAAAAATGGTACATGTGTTATATTCAGAATACAGTGTTAAATCAAAATACTGAGGGTTTTATTGCACTAACTAATATCAGGATTATGACATTTCCTGTGAAAATGTAATTCATGTGTGAAAAAAGACAAAAATAAAAATCTCTACATGGCCCCTGCATTTCTTTTAAAATGGCTAGACCAAACCTCTCAAATTATGCCATTTGGAATACTCTTGGTTGCCTACTTTTGAAAATGGTATGCCAGCCTGCCATACTTTCTGAAAAGCCACATAGGCCCAGAAAATCACTTTGTCAAATTTACAAGCTGAAAGGGCATCTAATATATTTCGCCCTGTGACATATTGAAAAAAAAATCTGAAATGATGGTAGGTGGGGGTACTATTTATATTCATGAAACAATGTGTATTAAATACAAAATCGTATTTAACTACAGGCACAAATCCTCCACTAAACATACCTTTGTAGCTAATCACACACCAGTAATCCAAAGGTGGAGATGAGAGAAAACCAAAGAGGAACACACAATCTCTGTACCTGCATACTCTGAAAACTAAAGGGCACTACTCCATTCTCCAAGGAATGGACAACACCCAGCACAGAGTCTGCTGCTGGTGTCAAAGTTATGTAAATAAATAGAATGACAAAATATAACACCTCTCCATATAGCGATAGATACAAAGCTGCTATAATCTCACTATAATTTACTGTTTGTAGTACATTTAAAATAGGAAAGCTGTTTATTACTACTTAATCTGTTAAGAAGCTCAGACCAAACATTGCTGAAAAGAACGCATTGAGATTGTCTCAACCTCAGGGGAGGTCTGGTTTCTCAGTCAGAATGGTGCTTTTGGATCCAAATCAGGAATCAGGTAGGTAGGTACAAATTTATTTATTACAAATAAATTGAATAAAATAGATATTTTAAAATTGGTGGTATATCCACCGGTCTTATGTGTTTCGTTTCTATGGAAACTTCCTCAAGCACCACCTTTTAAGATTCCTGATTTGGATCCAAAAGCACCATTCTGACTGAGAAACCAGACCTCCCCTGGGGGGAAGGCAACCTCAATGTGTTCTTTTTATCTGTGAGTTCCATATAAAGTGGGGGCACTGCAAACCTCCCCCAATAGTGTTGCACTATTTTTTTGTGTTTGTTTTAGAGATCCAGCTGTATCCCATTTTCTGTATACTTTTATATCTGTGTGAGGTCACCCTCAGGGAAGGGACCTTGGGAAGCTGTACTACTAAGTTAAGTAGTTTTTTTCCATATACCGTCACTTTTTGGTGTATTGGACAAGTTTTGTGTTTTATCTTTGAGGTTTTGTGGAGGAGATATTTTAGGTAGTAGCCTTGAAGCCTTTAGCTACGGCTTGAGAGATCCAGTTTTTTAGGTCTTCTTGAGGAGAACTTTTGATGGGCTGGATGTCTGCCACTTCTGTCATACAGGCTAGATATAGACTTTTACCCTCTGGAGCTGTATTATTGCACTTCAAGCAGCGATTTGATTTTCCCTTGTGTTTTGTGGGGATCTATCCCGGCTCATGCTTGGGCTGCAAATTCAAAAAATGTAAGTAACTGTGGCCGTTTGGCACTATTTTATAGATGTATACCAACTTTGGCGCACCTATGTTTCTTTGAACCTGAACGGGGGGAGGCAGAGAGAGAGAAGACATCTTTAAAAAAACATAGAATAAAAGTGTAACATTAGAAAAAAAACCTCAAAAAACATTTTTTCCCTTTCAAAAGGAGATAAATATATGTTTACCTTAAAGCGCTAAGAGAAAGTATACAGGCAGTACCAATTAGAATACAAATTCTTTAGTAGGAACAGATTTGCAACTGGTCTCTTGAGGAATTGAAAGGAAAAACTATCTTTAAGTGAGACGAATTCGCACATGCGCAGACCGTTCGGGAGGACCCTGAGACGTTCGCGCTATTTTTGCAGATTAGTTTGCACCAAATTATGAGAACAAGGCTATAAACGAACCAATGCTAAACCAGGAATTGCTTTAAAAAGAAACGAATGCCGCTGAAAGAAATGAACGAACGAACAAGGAAATACTTTGCAATTTGCAAGGCTTACCTATATGCGAGCATGTTCAAAACTCCTGAATGAAAGACTTTCACCTAACCAGTAAGTACATGAAAGATGTTGAAAAAGGAGAATAGAAAAAAACCTCCTGATTGGAATAGAGTAAATAGTCTATCTCCCAGATTGCCTCTAGGTTCTGTTGGGGGAAATATAAGGCTTCTGATATTTCTATGGAGCCGTAGTCCTCAGATCTTAATATTATGACATAGAAAGATTCAAACTACTAATTTTGAATCTGATCCAGTTAGTCCTGCTCATGCAGGCTGTTTACTTGGTCCTTCAGGCACAGAGAGGCTTAACTGGGCCTGGGAGACCCATAATACACATGGGAAATGAATAAAAAATAAGAGAGGTTGTAAAATTATAATTGTCTGTCCGGTTAAGGACAGGAAAAAAACCCACCGAGGTATAAAAGGAGGAGGGACCTTTTATGCAATCAGTCTCTCTCATTTGTTATTGGTTGATCCTGTCCTGATCTGGCTAGGGGCAGAGCTACCCATAAATGATGCTGCCATGATTAGCCAGGAAATCATATTTAATCAGAAATATTGCCCCCCCCTACACACACACACAAACAGATGGTGCCCTTCATACACCCTACCCACCACACACACACACACACACACACACTTAACCCCTTACACACATTGCATCCCTCACACACAGACACTACTGCCCCTATCCCCTACTACAGTCCCAATCCCAGCATACCCCAAGTAAATTGTCAAACTGTTCTTAAACAGATTGACTACTCTGGGAGGATTCCACGGCACTCCTGGCACCATAACCACTACAAAGAGCTAGGATTGTGAGTGGATTGTTCCTTTAAATAATCTTCCAGTGCCCCTCCTGGGATTAGGTTCTTGATCCGCCCCTGTTTTGGACAGAAAAAAGACAAATGAAAGGAGGGCCTTTTATGCCTACAGTCTAGACTCTAGTTCAGGGGAAGTCAACCTGGTCCCTACCGCCCACTAGTGGGAGGTTTGGGATATCAGATGGGTCTCGAAAGCCGTGGATCAAGGCCGGTATGGGAGATCCGTGAAGAGCCAGCCCAGCTGTAAGCCCTCTTGGGCTGGTGAGGAGAGCAAAGCACTTAGTTCCAGCAAAGGGAGGGAAGGGCCTGGGAGGCTGTGTTCATACCCCAAGCAGACTTGTCAGAGCGTTGCTGCGCGTTAACATGGCAACGCTCACAGGACAGGAGAGTCTGCCTGCAGCCGGAGGAGCTGTAGGCTAAATTAAACATGCTACCACTGGACCACCAGGGCTTGCAGCATCCCCCGCCCCACACCCACCATAGACCTTGTGCACCCTACACACACACTGCCCCTTCACACATATTGCCCCCTCACACACACTGCCCCCTTTGCACAGACTGCCCACTCACACATGCACTGCACCCTTCACACACATGCAATGCACCCGTTACCCCAGTGGCGTACACATGACCCCTGGGGCCCCGGTGCGAAAATTGATCCGTGGGCCCCCCGCGCACGCGGGCCGGACCGCAACACATGGCGGTGGGCACCTGGTCGCAGGGGTTACAGGGCTGCGACCGCGGTATGTACGCCAGTGCATGCAGATGCACACACACTTAAAGGACCACTCTAGGCACCCAGACCACTTCAGCTTAATGAAGTGGTCTGGGTGCCAGGTCCAGCTAGGGTTAACCCATTTTTTCATAAACATAGCAGTTTCAGAGAACACACACTAACACTCACACAAACACTATTTTTTTTTTTATTCAATACCCCCAGCCTCCTTACCCTTTGGAGTGCTGGGGGAATTCCCTGTGGTCCAGTGGTGCTGCTGACCCCAGACAGGCGGGTGGCCGGTCCGGCAGGCGGGCGCGCGAGGGAGCACTCAGTGCTTCCTCTTCAGCTCCCTCGCGCGCCGCGTAGGGATGCCGGCGCTGGAAGATGACGTCATCTTCCGGCTCCGGTATCAGTGCGGCGCGCGAGGGAGCTGAAGAGGAAGCACTGAGTGCTCCCTCGCGCGCCCGCCTGCCGGCTCCTGGGCCCCCCAAGGGGAAGAGGCGGGCCCTGGGTGTACATACCGGGTCGCAGGGGCGGCCGGGCCCCCTGGTGGGCCGGGCCCGGTCGCAGCCGCGACCCTGGTATGTACGCCACTGCCTTACCCACACACATCACCTCTCCCACAGAAACAGCACCTCACAAACACACATAGAAAAAAAAAAGTAGAATAGAAAATGGACACAGGTTGGCAGTAAGGAAATTTTACCATCAACAAAGATACAAAAGTGGGCGGTGTCAAGATTACCAGTTGATACAGCACGCCGAACTGTGTCACACCTAGGACTAAGGATAACGTATAACCGGACCTTAGAATGGCCAGACTTAACGTATCAAGGTGAGGAACACAGAATCAAACACAACGTTGAGGGAAACCAAAAGTCAAGCATACCAGAAAATCAGTGAAGTTAAAACAAAGCCAAAGTCAAATCCCAGAAAATCTAGATCAGGAACGCACTCTCGGATTACCATCAGGATGAAACCACGACAGGGCAATGAGCAAAAGGAAAATTGGGTTTAAATACCCCTCCTGTGAATCCGATTGACTGTAACCGGCCTTTGACCCCAAAAGCAATTACCAGGTTTCCATGTGCATGATTGCTGCTCAGCACAAACCCTCCTGTGGATCTGATTGGCCGTAACCGGCCTTTGACTCAAAAAGCAATTACCAGGTTTCCATGTGCATGATTGCTGCTCGGCACAACTTTTCCTGTCAGGACGGTAATGTTGCTTGGCACAACTTTTTCTGTCAGGACGGGAAATGCCATTAATCACATTTTTATGTGCGGATGAATACGTGACAGGCAGTAGGTATTAAAATGTTGATTTGCCTGCTCTAGTTCATTGTTTGTTTCCGGTCCTGTTCTGGCTGAGGGTGGAGCTACCCATAGGTAATGCTGCCATGATTAGCTAGGAAATATATTTACCTCTTTTTTGTCAGCCTGTAGAGGCTGACAAAAGCTTTTGAATGAGACAACTGTCTCAAAGTGATGCATGTCCCTTTCATTATACCTTTAGATTGTAAGCTCACAAACTTCACTGCATAGCACTTTGTGTAAGATTTACGTCCATAAAGGGAACTCTATACACTCTTTTTGTAACAGTATATACAATTTAATTTCCTTCTGTTTGTAACAATACCTATGTCAACAGATATTTTGTAAAGTGTTCCACATAAAACCTTTTAATATATAATTGAGATTATTTCTCACATAGGTTCCTCTGGCAGCACACCCACGCTTCAGCGACATTAGTTGTTATTGGTGTGTGCACTGTTAACAACTTAGAAAGGGCTGACAGGTGAGTAAACTAAATTAAGATCTAAAGGAATACTATGGCACCATAACCAATTCAATGGATTGACGTCATCACAGTGCAAGGAATCTGTGGGTGCATGGTCTTGCATCTGGTTTACTCACCATTTAGTAGAGATTCTCAGCTCTGTGATGATATGGCAGAGGCGGAGCTAGAGTTTCACCTTGCACCATACCAATTTATACAAGGAATTGGGGCAGTGATTGGCTGAATGCACTCAGTTGATGCTCTCAGCCAATCACTGCCCCTATATTGGTGTGAAAAAATTATCATATCACCACCTCTACCATTTAAACATTGGAGGTCAGGCTGCAGGGGACTAGAATTTCTGTAACTTCTGCAATTTCTAAACTTCGAGTACACTGTTTAGTAGTGATGCAGAATGTGGCACCCACAGACTCCAGGAGCCATAACCACGTCAATCAATTGACATGGTTATGGTGCTTACAGTGTCCATTTAAATGGCAGTGCTCATGAAGAAAACACTGTAGTAGTGGGTAGTGTTCCTTTTAAGATTGAAATTTTTTTTTATATTCTTTGTGATTTGAAGCAGTCACTCACATTTTAAAGGGTTACTCCACGCAACATGACCACTTCAGTGATTTAAAGTGGTCATGGTGCCTAGAGTCTGGGCTGACTAATGTAAATTATGGGCAAATGTATTTGTATAGTGTGCCATTCATTGGCTGAGAGTGGTTAGCTTACCTTCTCAGCCAATGTATTGTGACTGTATCAGCATCTGGAGATGGCGTCTGAACACGGTGGGGATCCAGGTAAATGGGCAAACTGTTCCTAAACAGTTTGCCCAATTACCAGGGTATTGGACCAGGATGCTCCTGGCATGATAACCACTACAGCAGTGTGTATTGATTATAATGCTTTGAGTAACCTTTAAAGCTCATCTGAAACCTGACAGCATATTTATGAATCTGCAATAACAGTGAATAAAATATATTATTGAATATAACAAGTGATTGTAACTGCCTTTATTTAAAATTGTACAATTTACAAAACATTTCATGTAAGGGATATTAAATATTTTGTGCCTGTATAGGTATGCTGGATTGGCCAAGTTGTTGCGAGGTCTGGTGACACATTTGTATCTTGCGTAACATTTGTTAAAATATTTTATATAACCGAAAACTTATCTATTCATCAAAATTCTTGATAAACCCAAAACAATTCAATATGAGTCCCTGAAAGTTGTGTGTGGACACAGCACCAGATTTTTTAAATACGATACAGTCAAATAATTTTATTTTTTTATTTTTTTTAACTTAACTGCAAAAGTCCACAATGAGACATTTAATTCTAGAATCTTTACTAATTTACCAAACATTCCATTCTCAGCTGAAACAGAAATTTCCACAGATCACAGAATCACCAAGTATATGGCATTATTAAGTAAAAAATAAATTAAAAAAAATCACTTAGGTGTATTTTGATTAATCTCTTCCTTGCTAGAAGATCTGAAGAAGCTGAGATACAAACCCCCTGAAGTGCCAGCAAAAAAAAGGGGGAAAAAAGGATTTTTTGATTTGCATCCATTTTTGTTATAATACAAATCCACATCTCAATTTCTTTAATATAATCTTCCTAAAATTGCCTTCCCATACAGCCTGCAGTATAAATTACATGCATTTGTCAGTAAAAACAAATACTAATTTGCAGCTTATATCATGTCACAAATCACACCAATATGAACCCGTCCTTCCACAGCGGTCATATTATCCTGTTATGGTCCAATTTGATGGAAAGTGAATTGTGTCTACTTAAATGAAATACATTTTTTCCAACAAACCTGTTGATTGTTGGATTTCTAACGTTTCTTAGGAACAATAACAAAAAAGTTAAAGGGAATAGCTATCGATGTTGATTCCTGGGCAAACTTTGTGGAAAACTGCAAGCCTTCATTGATGTTATTTAACTTTTTCCTTTTTTTGTAACGTCATTTAGTAGAACCATGGAAAGCAATTGCAATCGAGATGATAATCCGGCATAGGAATTCAACTCATGGTTTTACATCTTGGGTGCATGTACACAGAAGGCATTATTTTCCCACGAAATTGTATTGGGCAGTGATTTGCTGCTTCTCTTTGTACTGTCATATTGCTGTCCTAAGCATGCCCATGTATTTACATCATTTAATTCCTCTCTTAGTCTTTGAACCTCTGGTTCTGGAGCTTCTTGTAAAATGGCTCTTCACTCTCTTCACTTCCTTCCCTTTCAGCTATCTGTGGCTTCCTCCTGAGACTAGCATCCCTACTAGCTGAAATTCCCTCTCCCACTAATGGTGTGGGTACTCCGCCAGCAACATTGACAGTAGGCCCATATCGTGGTTCTGGGTCTGGTTCCAAGTCACTGATGGAGGACCCTGGAGACACACCAGCCCCTTTAGGGGTCCTGTAGCCACGATATTCCTTACCAAGTTCATAGGTTCCTCCTTCCTGAGCCTCACTGCTCTTTGGTCCAGCCTTCCACTCCCAAGGTCCATTGCCTGACGAGAGGTGAACGACAGGATGATGGGGTGCATGTGCATCTATGGTAACAATGCTAGAGCTGTCTCTGTCTGATGGTGAGCGGTACTGGGAAGAGTCAGAGCTGCTTGTGGTGGAAGAGGATGATGTTTCTGAATGTTTGGGGGTACTAGATCCAAGAGCTGTTTGCTGTTGTTGCTGCTTGGACAAAGCAATGACCTGCATGAGTCTTGGAGCATTGGCTGCAGCCCGTGGTGGACCACCTTTTTCTGCCATCATCATCCACTTGGCTCTAATTGCAGAACTGCCTTTGGGGGAGCCTGTTGGATTCTCTTCAGGGATGTGCAGTAAGGGTGGTGCTGCAGGACGTGGTTGTATAAGAACCCGTGGAGCCCCTGTCCGAGCCTGCACTGTGGGATAAAGTGAAGGTGGTGCTCGATCAGGGTCTACATCATCAAGAGCAATGCCCGATGTCTCAGAGGCTGCCCGTCTGTGGGCTTGTGCTAGTGCCACTTCTTCACCCAGTGTCAGGCTACGTCCTTCTAAAGGTTTTGGCTTCCATTCAGGACCCGTTCCACGTGGACGGGAGCCCTCAGCAGGGACATGTATTGTCATGTGACGGCGGGCAGGGTCCTCCATGGATGGGGTGCTTACCCGTGGGAGTGTGTTGCTGAAGGTCACCATGTTCTCTTTACCCATTGGACTCCTGGGGGCTAATAAGTCCACATCCACGCTGGCCCGCTTGAGGCTCCCCAGAGAATTTTTCTCGCGTTGAACCTGGCATTGGAAAACAAAATACATTATTTAAGTAGATAAAATAGAGGCAAGTCTATTTCAGTAGCTGAACTGAGATGCCATAATATGTCAATATTATGCCAGGTTATGTACAGAAAACTTGAATGCCTTTAAGGGGTTAGATGACCAGCCCAGGCAATATCCTAATAATCAGGAAATAACCCTATTGTAATGCAAAACACACAGACAGAGTAATAGTGTGTCCCTGCCTAGAGAACACACCAAGTAATTGACTTAAAATAAATAAGTAAAAAAGGAATTTATTAGACACTTAATAAGTAGATTCTATACACAAACATAAATGGCTAAACCAAAGGAGTAACTAGAATCCACTGGGTTCTGGTGCAAAAATTGCCCTGGGGCCCCCCTCCCATGTGCCTCATCCCCCCCCCCCCGTGTCTCATTTAGGCACCCAGGCCCCCCCATGTGTCTCATTCCCTCTGCCTCACAGCCCCTCCATGTGTCCCACTCCCTCTCCCCCCTCAGCCCCTCCATGTGTCCCATAGGCTTCTACTCCTCCAGCCCCTTCATGTGTCCCATTCCCTCTCCCTTTAGCCCCTCCCAGTGCCTCCATGTGTCCTATTTCTCCTTCTCCCCTCCCTGTGTCCCATACCCTCCCTCGCTCCCCCTTCCTCTCCCCTCCATGTGTCCCATTCTGCCCTCTCTCCCCATCCCTTCCATGTGTCCCTATACCCTCTCTAACTCCTCCCCTCCCTTCCATGTGTCCCTATACCCTCTCTAACTCATCCCCTCCCTTCCATGTGTCCCTATACCCTCTCTAACTCCTCCCCTCCCTTCCATGTGTCCCATTGTTCCCTCTCTCCCCGCTTCCCTCCAGGTGTCCCATTTCTCCCCCTCTCCTGCCTCCCCTACCTGTGTCCCATACCCTCCATCTCTCCATCCTCCTCTTACTGTGTCCCATACCCTCACTCTCTCCCCTCAATGTGTCCCATTGTTCCCTTTCTCCCCCCTCCCCTCCCTGTGTCCAATTGTTCCCTTTCTCCTCCCTGCCCTCCCTGTGTACCATTTCTTCCTCTCTACCCCTCCCTGTCCTATCAACCTCTATTTCTCACCCCCCTCTCCTGTGTCCCTTACCCTGCATTTCTCCCCTCACTCCTGTGTCCCTATACCCTGCATTTCTTCCCTCCACTCCTGTGTCCCTCCCAAATTTCTCCCCCTTCCCTCCCTGTATCCTCTGTTTCCTCCCCACTTCCCTCCCTGTATCCCATACCTTCTTCCTCCCTCCTCCTCAGATCCCATATCCATCCCTTTCTCCCTCATCCCTCCTTGTATCCTCTCTCTCTCTCCCTGCCCTCCTGTGTCCATACCTCTCTCCCTCCTCCCGTGGCCATACCCTCCTGTGTCCCCTCTCTCTCTCCCCCACCCCTCCTACTCCCATATCCTCCTCTCTCCTCCTCCCTCCTCCTGTGCTTACCCCTCTCTCTCTCTCCTTCCCTCCTGTGTATACCCTCTCTCCCCCACCCTCCCTGTATCTCTATCTCTCCCACCCCTCCTGTATCCGCTCTCTCTCTCCCCACCCCTCCCCCCATACCTCTCTCTCTCCCCCCCTCCTCCCTGTATGTCTCTCTCTCCCCCCTCCTCCCTTGTCCCTTATACTCTCTCTCTCCCCCTCCTGTATCCCATACCCTCTCTCTCTCCCCTCCTGTATAACATACCCTTTCTCTCTCTCCCCCCACCCCTCCCTGTATGCCATACCCTTTCTCTCTCTCCCCTCCTGCCAGCCATCCAGAAATCGCTGTGCACCGTCCCATAAGGTATCCAGGCGGCCCACGGTCGCAGGGGTCGCGGCTGTGGACGTGGGCCACTATAGTGAGGGGCCCGGTCGCACCTGCGCCCCCGGCGACCGTGGTAGGTACGTCAGTGGGCAAAACACAGTGAACACAGAAGGGATGACATAATGGATGGAGAGAGAACTATCTAGCTAGAAATCTCTAATAGGGTAATGGTTCCACTTTACACAGACCTGCTGTCTTTAGCTACTGAATATGTTCCTTTTTTCACTTTTTATTTTTAAGGCAATTCCTTGATGTCTTCTAATTACAGAGACACACTATTGGTCTGTATTTGTGTATTTAGGTTTTGTTACAGATTTCTAGGAAGGAATGAATCATTATAGTGGTCACTCTAAGTACAATAACAACTTCTGCTCATTGCATAGTGCAAATAGTTTCCCGCCCACATCAGTAAAGATCTCTGCACCCATAAGCCCTTTCCCAGTAATGTAAAACAAGGGTGTTTTACTCCTCTTGTCATCCAAGATTTGTCCATGTTGTGTGTAGGTACAGTGTGTGAGTGAGGCAATGCTGTTAGCAGAATTGTTCACAAAACTGTGAATAGGGACATTAATAAAATGATATAGATGCTATCAGATTGCTGGGCATTAGGTAGATTTGTTTGTGGTAATGAGTGACACTGAAACTCAAAACTGCAACATCTGCTTATGGAATAAGGGGAAAAAAAACCCCAGAAACAAACCATAGACTAGTATTAGAGACTAGTGAACAAGTGAATGTTTTCCAGATGTTAGAAAGATATGGTCAAAGGGCACAGGGACTATAGGAAATTGAAATTATATAATAAAAAGGTATTTATTTTACAGGAGATTAGTTCATGAATAGCATCCACCAAGTCGTTTAACAAAAAAAAGTACAACATGGATGAGAGAAAGATGGCAAAGACTCTAACTCACCTGGCGTTGGGTACTCTGGCTTCGTGGACGAGGTGTAAGCTCATCAGTGCTTGATGACTTGTTCTGATGATAAACAGACTCATGACCACGCTGGGTCAGTGCTCGTAGAGGGTCCTTGGTGGTTGTGGTTGGTGAAGACGAGTCTTCACATGATGCCTGGAAATTACCTACAGCATGATAGGCCTAAATAAAGGACAGAGAGATTATATAATAGTTCAGATCTTGAATAAATTTTACACCTTTAAAAACACTTTTCAGGACCATGTAACACATGTTACACTCACATAGACAAAAAGTTAAAAACACTTTTCCAGATTTAAAACTTTAATGGCAGTAGATCTTTAATGTGCCTGTCATTGAAGTGGATATGTTGCCATCACTCTAATTTCTGACAAATTGCTTCTGAATGGTTGAATAAAAAACCTGCTTATTTCTCCTGACTTCATTGTCAGGACAAGACTTGCCCTGTAATATGTATAATGACATCACCAAGATATAAGGATTATCTGGGAATAGTGCCTTTGCAAAGCACCCAATTACTGTCTACTACTGCAAGCTGGGCCAGCAGAGATATATGTAAAGCCTCTGCTACTTGATGGGTACTTCAGTTGTGAGTCAAATACTCAACTTCTAGGAGTACTTTTTTCCAATGTATATGACATTTGGCTAAGACCTTTATAGCCTAAACAACATATTAGTAGGCTGTGTAATACTTAACAAAACTTAAAGGGTTACTCTAAGCACCAGTTGATTGATTGATTTTCAGTGGTCATGGAGTCTTTGAGTGCAGTGTTTCACTATGAAACTTCACCACCGGCAGTCATTGGAGTGTCATCAGCCAGCATGAATAAAGAGTTTTCAGCTGGCTCATATCAATTCTGTTTAACATTCCTTGCACAGAATGTCAGTCATTTCACTTTCAGCCAATGAATGGTGACAGCCGCAGCTTCCAGGGCTCTGGAGAAGACAGGAGCGCATCACCGGACCATCAGAGGACATCGGAACCTGATGGGGATCTAAATAAGTCTAGATATCTAGACACACTGTTGCTAAATTGTTTTCCCCATTACTGGGAAACCAGCCCAGAGTACTTCTTGCATCATAAGCACTACAGTGGGCTGTAGTGATTATGATAATTAGAGTAACCCTTTAAGTTGTTATTACTTCCAAAGTTGCCCATTCAGGACGTATATTTTTTTTAGGACTGCATTATTTGATACTTGAAAGTAATAATTTCACTGGCACATGTTTATTGCTACATTATGGGGTATATAGAAGGCGTATGCCTGAAGTTGTGGGAGAGATTTATGGCCTATATAACCCAGTAAACCCCTTGCTTACCTGTCTTCGTCGATTCCAGAAATTCCCCTCCCACCACACCCTCTTTTCATATCAATCTATCCAGGTGGGCCCTCTTTTTTACAGGCCTAACCCCTCTTGTCGGTTACGGCACACCTCAACCGACTCTTGTTTATCAAAACAACACTCACTTTAAGTACACGTCCCTTTCATAATCCCATACACAAATATAGTTTTCAAATGTTTTTTAACACACTTTTTGTGTTACAGTTACAAACAGCGAAGATGTTTCACTGTTTGCAGTTGCATGCAAACAAGTCATTATTTATCTAATATTGTACAAACACTGCACTAATGCCAGGAATATTGATCCGTTGACTTAGCTGTGTTATACTCAGAAGTGAACTTGTGAGGTGTGAATGTAAATATCACAAATCTTTTTACTGACTTCCAAGTGTAATATTTGTATGACAGATTTTCATACCAAATTCCATATTAAATGTACCTGATAGTTTAAAAGCAAAAGTTGCCTCACATAGTAAAATTCCATATAGCATATATTTCTAAAATGAGGACTACCTTCGGTCTTTATTTTTAACTTGCAGATTTGTCAAATAACAATACAATCTCAAAACAGTCCTCCTAGTTACTTGTCCAACAAGCTCCTTCACTTGTGTTGGGTGGGCTGATGTAAGGTGCCATTTAAGCATGTTTAAACATTTTCAGGACTTGACTTTCAAGCCCATAAGCAATCTCTTCAATGTATGAGCAGCCTGTCCATAGGCACATGTGTACTAGAATGACGTGTCGTTCTGAGTACATTGATACTAAATACGTGTAGGTTTCGGTATACGTGTAGGACATTATTTATAGATAACACATCAATGAGAAATTATTATATTATTTCTAATGTTATACATTGATAACAACAAATAATGCTGAGCAAAAGTATTTTCTTTTGCCATTCCCTACAAGGTAGCTAAATACTAATGAAACTCAATGGTATCTTTAGTGCAGTACATTTCCACTGAATTGATCCCCAAAACAAAGTTTCAAACAAATTAAGTTAGTTGGGATTTCAAAACAAGAAAACTGTCAAAACTGAACGCTAATCCAAAATCGTGAAACTGTAAAATTCTGCTGCGTTAGGATTAAATTGTGGTTCTTCTCAATGAGGGGTCAAAACCTAAATACAACGGAAGTTCAAAAAATCCAGGATGATCAAATGTCTTACTAATTTTAGGCTTAATTTTCCTTAATCCTAGGCCTAATGCATTGACCTTTAAGTATTTTAATCATCCTGTCTCTCGTTGATCCACCATGGTATCTGATCTAAAAAAATGGAATTTGTTTTTATACTGGTTTTGGTGGGCCACTTAAAGGGATTATCCAGTGCCAGTAAAACATATTCATTTTCCTGGCACTGCAGGACCCTACAGTGTCCCTCTCCCTCCCACCCCCATTCAAAGTTGCTGAAGGGGTTAAAACCCATTCAGCGACTTACCGGAGTCCAGCTCCGATGTCCCTCAGCGCTGGGTCAGGCCTTAGACCACCCCATAGAAAAGCATTATTCAATGCTTTCCTATGGGGATTTCGGCGACGCCGGAGGTCCTCACATAGTGTGAGGACGTCCAGCGTCGTTTAAAACACTTTTCGTGTTCTAAGAACACGGAAGTCCCTCTAGTGACTGTCTGATAGACAGCCACTAGAGGAGGACTTAACCCTGCAAGGTAATTATTCCAGTTTATAAAAACTGCGATAATTACACTTGCAGGGTTAAGGGTGGTGGGAGTTGGCACCCAGACCACTCCAATGGGCAGAAGTGGTCTGGGTGCCTGGAGTGTCCCTTTAATGTGAACTATAATTTACTCCAAATGCAGTAACATTTTACAGTTTCACTCTTTCAGATTAAGGACTCATGTTGTGCATGAGGTAAAACAGTTTGTTTTTTTATTTCTATTGTCCACTTTTTCCAATATTGCATTTAAGGTATTTTTTTTAAGGCATTCATAAATAGGACTTTCACTTATGTGAACATATTGCATTGTAAAATAAAGGGAAAAAAACAAAACAATTATTGAATATAGCCCTTACTACTCACTAGGTAGGCTGCAATTCCTGCTCCAATAAGAAACCCTGCATAGACATCGACGGGGTGGCTGCGGTACTGGGTGATTTGAGTCAGTCCACACACTCCAGCCGCAATCGAGAAAGAGAAAACCAGCAATGGCTTCAGAAGTTTTGTGCTGTCTGAGATGATTGAGTTAAAGTACATCTGGAAGAAATTACAATGATAATATTATGCCATATTATAGCTCAGTGCAATATTCTAGTATATGCTACATTTTTGGGATGGTGTTTTGGAATTACTCTAAAGGAATCCTTAGTATTTAGTTGTTCCATATTCAATCAAGAGCATGTTACAGCAGGTGCAGACCAAGTGCATAGATCCCTAGAGAGCGTTTCCAAGGGTTATAACAGCATCACTCTGATTCACTATGGCCAGGTGGAGTAATGGATGTGGTCTACACTCCCTGGGGTACAGAGCAGATATGTAGGCCACTGGGCTAAGGTAAGGACGAAGAATAAATCTCTTTACAAGTTTGTTTGTTTTTTGGTTCTTATAATTATTTTTTATTTTTTCTTTTTTTTTTTTAATGCTTTTAAAAAATAAAGTCTCAATACGCACACACTGCCGCCCTCATCCCCCCTTCACACTGCTGACCCCATCCCACCCCACACTAACTGCAGTCCCTTTCCATACACACACATTAGTACTTCCATGCACAATAATCCTCGCCATACACACAATACACCACAAGCAGCCTGATATGCAACCCACCCGCACACACAAACAACACAAGTGACCTTCCCTCACACAGCACCACGGACAGCCTACACATACACAACACCCTCTCCCAGCCATGTTTTACCTCCAGTACATAGGGTTGCCACCTTTCTTGAGGTGGAAAATACGACCATGCTGATTTGCATAATTAATTATGCACAACGTCACAGGATGTTGCGTAACATTTGGAAGAGGAAAGTTGGCATGTGGGAGGGAAATATGGAAGGATGGGGGGAGATATGGATGGTAGGGTGAGGGAGACATGAGGGGAGGGATATGGATGGAAGGGGGGGTTGCCATTGGGGGAGAGATATGGATGGAAGGGGAGCGGTTGACATGGGTGGATAGATATGGATGGAAGGGGAGGGAGACATGAGGGGAGATATATAGATGGAACGGGTGGGGGTTGGCATGAGGGGAGAGATATAGATAGAACTGGGGGTTGACATGGGGGAGAGATATAGATGGAAGGGGGGTTGGCATGCGGGAAGAGATATGGATGGACATGGGGGAGGAGAGAAATGGATTGAAGTGGGGAGAAAAACATGGAAAGGAGGGGAACAGAGCCATGGATGGAAGGGAATGAAGAAGAGACATGGATGGAATGGGGGTAGAAGCGAGCAGAGAGTGCAGTCACACCTTACCCTGCCTGTAGATTGCAGAGAGACTAGGGAGTGAGCGGAGCTGATAGTGTGACACCACTGGCTGAGCTACTGAAGTCGCAGCTGCGACCGGGCTGTCACTCCAGACCCCTGCGACCGGGTGCCCACTGCCATATGTTGGGGCCCTGGCGCGTGCGGTAGAACCGCTGGGGTGGCAAGTTCAGGGTCCCATCGAGTGGCCCATGCTGTTAGGGCCACCCGATGGCAGCTAATATATCCAGGGGGGCCAGTCAGTGCTGCAGCGTTTTAACAGCTGACCAGGCCCCCTGTGATGATGTCAGACTGAGCAGGGAGGAAGTGAATGCCCCGGTCACGCCTCCCAGCAATTACCGAGCCTGTGTGGGAGGAGGAAGGAGAGGAGGGAGTCAGAGTGGCTCAGTCAGAGCCTGAGCCACCACTGTACCCTAGGGAAGTCACCCTCCTGCATCTAAAAGGTAGGAAACAGGAGGGTTAATAAACAATTTTGCATGTGTGTTTGTGTGTGTTTCTGTATGTGTGTGTATGTCTCTGTATGCATGTAGGTGTGTGTGTCTTTGTATGTGTGTATCTCTGTGTGTGTGTATGTGTGTCTCTGTATGTGTTTGTTTCTGTGTGTATGTGTGTCTGCATGTGTATCTGTTTGTCTGCATATCTGTATGTCAGTGCATGCCCTGTGTATCTGTATGTGTGTATATGTATGAGTGTCATTCTGTGTATTTGAATGTTTGTTCTTGTGATTGTGTGTCTGTCTGTATGTGTATATGTATTTGTGTCAATGTTTGTATCTATAGGAGTGTCATTCTGTTTATCTCAAAGTGTGTAATTCTGTGTATCTGTGTATCTGCATGTGTGTTTGTGTGTATATATATGTATGTGTATCGGTGTGTTAGTTTGTGTGTCTGCATTTGCGTGTGTGTATGTGTGTATGTGTATGTATCTGTGTATCTGTATGTGTTAAATGGTGTGTATCTGCATGTATGTATGCTTGTATGAATGAGACACATTGAGGGGCGTGGGTGGGGGTGGGAGGAGGTAGTGAGACGTATGGGGGACCCAGGGCAATATTCACACCGGGGCCCCAAGGTTTCTAGTGTGACACCATGCCTACCTGGCTGGGACTGCATTTTGCTGAGGGAGTGAGCGGAGCGGACATCCAGACAGTGCTGTTACTATTGAGACAGTAAGTAACGTGAAGTGAAGCTTTTGAGTAAATTAAATGTATGTATTCAGGATTACATATTGTGCGCATGAGAATGAAACAAGTAATTTTAGTTTGTTTAGGATTCACTAACTTTTATACAGGTCACAGGCAGCACAGATGAACAGTTAAATGATGCTATATACTCATCAGGGGTTATTACTATCATACAAAGACAAACCCAGTCGCCAGCTCCAAACCATCACAAGCAGTCCCCATCACACATTGATAGCACAAAATGATCACACAAAGCCAGCCCAATCCTAACACACAGTCTCCATCACATGTACACAGCTCAATAACACCACACACAAATACATCACATGCAGTCCCCATTATACTCAGACAGCCTGAGTTCATCGATCACAACCAAGGTATTTGTTAGCTTAAAAAAAAAATGTAGTGACACCAGTAAAGACTCCTATTTGGGGCCTCTGTGGGATGCAGCCTTTAAACATTTGGTTGTGGTGAGATGCAGATATGGTCACAAGAGATTGATAGAGCACTCTCTACGCCAATGTGATGTTACCTTTGTTGCCGCCCAAATCTCATATCCGGCATCTTTTTCTTCTGCATAGTGCATGCAGGAGGCTGTTTAAAGTCCTAGGACAAGCCCTGTGAGTGCAATCTAAATGCTGGGGTAAGTCCTGAGAGCTTGGGCAAGTCCCATGAGTGCAATCCCAGTGCTGGGGTAAGTCCTGGGTGCTGGGGTAAGTCCTTGGTGCTGGGACAATCCCTGTGAGTGCAATCTAAATGCCAGGGTAAATCCTGGGTGCTTGGCAAGTCCTGTAATTGTGTTCTCAGTGTTGAGGTGGCTGCTGGGGAAGGTCCTGTGAGTGCAATCTAAGTACTGGGGTGGGTACTTGGTCAAGTCCTGTGAGTGCAATCTCGGTTCTGGGGTAAATCACGAGAGCTAGGACAAGTCCTGTGAGTTCAATATCTGTGCTGGGTAAGTCCTGGGTCAAGTCCTCTGAGTGAAATCTCACTCACATGCTTAAATCTCATTTGAATACTATGCTCATATGAGAGTACTATGCTCACTATAGAAATGCAGACAATAGAAAATAATTGAAATTGATATAAAGAAAGATAAACCCCAAAATGTTTACTTTTCATGATAAGGTGTGTGCATGTGTGGAAGGGGGAGGGGGTGCAGGAGACCCTAGGTACATCTCTGATCAACATGGAGGATGTTTTAAAGACCCTACTGTATGCTACCACTATGTAACAGGAAACTAACCGGCTGATAACTGCTCAAATGGGGGCTGTGTTGGAGGCACAGTAAGAGGACAGGACTGTCATGAAAGTGATTGTGCAACAACTCTCATAAACTACCACAGATGAGCAAAGCAGCAGTTCAAAACTGTGGCAAAACTAGCCACTTCTTGTGTAAAAGATTAAGTTGGTTCGTCTATTTTGACTTCCCGGACAGAACATGGACATCTTGTTCGTGAAGTTGAACAAACTACCGAATGAGAGACCACACAGTGGAGTCGTGTGTCTCTAATTAAGAATTTGCAACATGTGGAAACCGCAAGATCATAATGGTCTGATGGGTGGTCGCCGTTCATATGAATGAACACGTGGAGGCGGCCATCTTAGCGCATGAACGCCCAGCGGTGTTTGGTCATCGAATGCATGGAACTAAAATCGACCTCACAAACACCGCTGGACTTCCATCTCATTTGTACATGTACTTCCGTTCGTCAAAACAGAGCGGCGTTCGCCTAAATGAAACCACCAACCTCCAGACACACAACTACCCAGCTTATGAGTATATGCATTCATCTGTTTTATTCGTATGAACTCCCGAAAGGAGACCGGTCAAAGCCTCCAATTGCCTGGAACTAATCTTGGACTTTACCTCGTGGCTAACCGGTCCAAAACTTCACTCATATTGATTTTCTGTTCTACCAAACGGATCTGAGCGGTATTTCGACAGATTGAGCGCTCAGATCCCAGTTATTCAGTGAAGTGTCTTTCGTGGAGTTCTGATAAATGTTATATGAGTTACTATGTTTTTAAAATGTTGTTTAATGTTTTGTACTGGGAGATAATTTAATTAAAGAAGTGTTCTTACGCAATTACCTTCCCAGTACAGAAAAGGATCATGGGAAATTTAACTTTGTTCCCAGTCTTCCACAAGGTCCTCCAGGGAAAAACCCCTGGAATGTCATTAAGGAAACTCCTTCCATGGGGATTTGTATAAAGCTGGCTGTGGTTCAATAAAAGTTCAGTTGACTCCCAAAACTGTGTTTCGTCCACTTGTTGGGGAATGGGATTGGAAGTACTATGCTACCCTTTATTTGTATGCTGATTACGTCTACCAGCGGAGAAAATGCAGTTTATACTTCTACTCCGCTACAAAAACCAATCCATGCAAAACAGTATCTGCAAAAGATGAAGCCGCAAGTTGACGTCGAAGCCTATCTCATATTTTTTGAGTGAATTTCAAACAGAGAGCAATGTCTTCACTCTCAACGGGCCAGCATAGTTACTCAAAAAGCCTACTTTGACCTACAGAAAATGGTAGCTGCCATGATGATATACTTAAATCAGAGATTCTTGAATGGAGAGGCATGACTTCAGTGATCCATGCCCAACAGTTCTACAATTGGAAATACCAGGATCAGAGCTAGGACACATAAAAGCTGGGTTTCCGCATTTGCAGTAACCCATGGAATGTGGGTATAATTCTATAAGTGAGGACTATTGAACTTTATGTGGACTGATTTGTTTGGTGGAGAAACGGACCGAAACAAGTGTATATGATAAAACTGTTTTGTTAAATGGGAAGGCAACGTTCGCTCGTGTGGACTGAGAGAGTAATATTACCCTAGTGGCAAGCGGTCTGATTCAGCCTTCTCAATTGCTCCCAGAAAAAAAGGTTGGGGTAATCTGTGTACATAGCTATACTGTAATATATCCTTCTACCTCTGTGAAAATAGGTTATCTTGGTCATACATTCCCAGTAGTGGCAGCAGTTGCACATAAATTGCCCCATTCACTTATTCTTGGGCGAAAGTTCCCAGGCTATGAAAGCCTATTTGAAACCCAGGGTGAGTCCATAAAGGAAAGCCCATTTTGTTTGTTACCATTTACACACTCTGACTTGTTTTATGATAAGTGTAAGAGGTGCAAGTCAAGGTGTGAAAGAAAGGAAGATAAGGATAGGGGAACTATGAACTTACAAATGGCTTTCAAAAAATAAAGCTAAAAGTAATGAAGGTGTGGCTTTACCAGGCTCGAGTACAAATTCCACACCTTTAATAGGAATATTGATTGAACCCCAGGGTCAAACCCTAAAACAGGCTAATATAGTGGATTTGGACATTGGCTCAAATCAATTCGGAAGGGACCATGTCAATGATTTAGCATTGCAAAATGTTTGTAACCAAATTGTAGAAATGAATGGGACTATGGTTGATGGGGAATCCAGAGAGTGGATGTACAACAAAAAAGAAAGGATTGCTAAGGTCACACGTTGGTTCCTCTCTTTGCAACCGTTTAAATTCTTTGTAAGCACAAGGCTGGTTTACTACATGCTAGTGGGGATGCATTATCTAGAGTGCACGGCTTTTCATCAAGGCCACTTCACACACCAGTGTTAAGCTAGGTTGGAGGATTTGTGGCTTTCAATATCAGTAGCAGGTTGGAGCGCTCTCTTTTCCAACCATGATGGGGTTAATAGGTGGAAGTCAGCCCTTTCAGGTGAATTTAATTAGCCTGTATTAAAAGGTCAGCCTCCTAAGGCATGGGAGAACCTGATAACAGGGAGAGAGGAGGCCCTGAGACTCTAAGGTGAATGTACTGTTTACAAACCTGGGTGTTTAAACTTGCTGTGATTATATTGTTTAGAACTGGGAACTCGATTAGCTGGATTATTTGTATTTTAGCACTTACAATATGACTTTAGAGTCTTACAATAATTTATTATTAGTACATAATGACAGACACAAACTTTAGAAATGCTAGATCCTTAAGTGCCAATTACATTATTTACTGTCTCTAAAAGCCTTATGCAAACAAGGTATCTCCTGCTTATTGAGATTTGGCAGCTCTGTACAGCACTATAGTCCATAATTGAGTGTTCCTTACATTTTAGAATAGGATCCTTCAAAGAACAACTTGTTATGATGGCATGGACCTTTATAGGTAAATGAAATCACTGTCAAGACTGAATTGTTATGACTTACCCTAAATATGTACATTTATTCCTGGAGTATTATAAAAGTAACAAAATAATACACAGTTCTCACCATTGTCTTAGCTTGTACTTAAATATATTATCAAACCTGCCAGACTATGATATAAATGTAACCAAATCTGACTCCTGAAATGTCTCGGCTCGCGTCCTCATCCTGTGGTCACTCTTTCCACTCAAATTCAACTGTAAATTTAAATGGAAGTCTTCTTTCCAAACATATCTCAGGGCACAACTGACAGACCTACTATAGATCTAAGGACAAATAGCCCCCCTTTGTCCAGGCGCTACATAGAGATCTCAGACTTTGGAACTTATACTGAATGTTCTGGTTGGGTAGAGCATTTGATTGGACCACAGAATTCAGTGACACACTGGGACGTCCAATGGGGAGCGGAAAACCCTTGCCCAGCGTTTCTACAAAACGGCAATATTTTACATTGCAGGGTCAAAATGACAGGGGACTACACATAGATCACATTACTGAGATCAAGTGGTCTGGGTACCTATGGTCAATCTTCAATATTGGGGCTTCAGCTTTTAAATATTTTTTTGAAGATCTGCCTTTGTTTTGTTTTGTTTTTTTTATAATTAACTCATTTTTAAAACTTTGCTCAAATTGCACCCAATCTCTATTTTTACCTGTCGCTATTAACTCAACTACAAATATTTGCAGCCTTGAATCTCCTTGACTGGGCTGATTGAATGCTCCTCAATGAGGCCCTGCCTCCTCTGTGATGTCAGTGGAGCAGGAGGGGTCAGCAGCACCGAGGGGGCTTCAACGATAGAATAAGGCAAGTAAAACTTAAATTTATTTAATTTGTTTTTTGCTCTGGGTGGGGTGGGCTACCTATTTAGAGCTAGGCAGAGGGACACTATAGCATTAAGAATACAGATACTGAAACTTTGGATGACAACCCCAACCCCCAACCCTCGTCTTTTTTCTGTACCCCTACTCTACCCACCCGTTGTGTTTTGTTGATAAGAAAATAAAAAAAAATTGTCAAATAAAAAAAAAAAAGAATACAGATTTGTATTCCTAATGATATAGTATTCCTTTATATTTTTAACTCACTTTGAATTATTACTTTAGTGAAAAAAAATGATTGTAATTTAAACTTGACTTTGACTAACCTTGATGGCAGTGATAGTGTAAGTGTGCTGGGAGCAGCTTATTAATGAATGTGGTCTCCAGATGATTTGGAGAGACGAGATAGAAAGATATTTTTCCCTTCAGTAACGTCCAAGTGATGATTTTCAGAAAACAAACTACATGAAACAATAAATACTCACTGAAACATAGACTGCAGCAAAGGCAGAGAGTGTTGCATGCTGGGATGGAAATGTCTTCCTGGGGATGCAAGAAAGTGTTAAGTTAGGTATGCATGTATAAAATGAAGTAAAATAGCTTTCATATTGGCATGCTTCAGCAGGTATGAACACCACATATATTGGCATTTCTCGCCTTCTTCAATCATATACACGTCATAACAATTCTTTTTTTCATAAGGTGACTGTCCTATTGTGATCTTCTAATACTGTAATTAATGCTTTGTACTAGACATATTAATACCAAATGTATCACCATTCTACCCAGTATCCCAGCATGCTCTGCAGGAGAATGTTAATAGATGACTGAAGTATGGGCCTTCACAGGCATCCATTAACATTGTCTGCACTGAACACTAATTATAATCTTAATGCTATAGTGCTCTTTTTAAAAAAAAAATTTTTTATTATAATTCTTTATTTTAGTTGCGTATGATATAACAAATGAGCGTGCAACGTCACAACAGCTGTGGCACACACAATATAATCACATATCACGATCAAGTATGACTATCATATAGCTACGCATTTTTTGTGTTTGTTGTGTACAGATGTGTGGGTTCTAGTGCGTGGTAGGCCCAACAATAAAGTTTGCGTGTCTAGAGCATGATATATAGATTAGGCATGACTATAAATTGTTAAGCTACATCATGAGTTGCTAAGCTAGGCCACATGCATCTCTTATCTCTGCTAGGTATCTGTGAATCTATTTGGCTGGCAGTGTATTGACTTAGCTTTGAAATGTTAAGTCTGTCTTCATATACGTTGTATGTGTCGTCCCGCATACGCTTAGGGCAGACAGGTGGGGAGAGATTTAAACATGCTGGGTAACATTCGGAACGAGTTATAGCAACTGAGCTGTATTGCTGCTTTCTTATGTGATAATAAGGTATAGAATAAAGAAAGTAAAATAACTAACTGAGAAATTGTGGAAATAAATAAAAACATTAACATGGTGACAGTGTCTTATCAATTGCTGTCCAGTGCTACCGGGTGCTAGAAATCCCTCATGTGGTGGCCGCAGCAGAGGGGCCTCGTCTGGGTTGTCTTGGTACAAAGGCTCACGTTTTCTAGGTCCCATCTGTGTGGTGGTCCGGTGGGATTGGTAGGTGCTGTGTGCCGCATAGCATCTTGAGGGAGTCCCAGCACAGGCAGCAGGTCCTGTGCTCCTTTCAGGTCATAGACTTCGTGTTTATCTTCACCCTTTGTGATGAATATGGTGCGGTTGAGGTGCCGTCTGTATGGTATACCGTGATGTCTGAGGAGCGATGTAAACTGCTTGAGGGACCTCCTCCAGATAGATCCGCAAAAAAGGATAGTGTCATCGCTTCAAATGTATATGGGGAGCAGTCTTTGACTGCTGCTAGAATTGCTGCTTTATCCTTCCCTTGTTGAAAGCGGATTATTAGGTCTCGGGTGGCTGTCTTTGGGGCTCTGGCCGGCTTTGGGGCCCTGAAGACAAAGTCCAGGTTGATGGCCTTAGCCTGTTGCGGTGATAACAACGCCGCCAGGAGCCTTCGCGCGAGGTGCGGCTGTTCGGCTGTCGGAATGTTGTCAGGTACACCCCTCACTTTCAGATTATTCACCCGACGTGTGTCTTCCAGGGAGGCAAATCTCTGTTCAAATTCATCGTTTCGGCTCTGTAGGCCCTTGATCTCCTGTTGTAAGGAGGTAATGTGGATAGTGTTGGTCGCGGAGGTGTTCTCCAGGGTGCCCAACCTTCCTGTCAGGCCCTGTATGCGTGCGGAGGTTAGCCATGTCTGACTGGATTGTGGTTTGGAGGTCTGCCAAAAGCTTCTTTAGCACCGCTGTGGTGACTGGTGCTGTATCAGGGCTCAGGGGTTTGTATGCTGCTGCAGTCATACTTGGTAGGTCTGGTCTGTCTTCTCCCAGGGAGAAGTCATCCAATAGTTTGGAGTATGTCTCTGGATAGTTGGCATTCTTGGGCCTAGTTGCTCCGTGAGCTTGTCTCCA